TTGGGCGCCATCCTTGACTAGCTGGCTGCTACAACTGGCCTCGATCTCATGCGTTCACATTTTCACGCTCTGGAACTAGCCTGGTATCTATTTTGTGAAACTCGTTCACAGATATAACACTGGCGAGTTGGTGTTTATTACCGGTTTGTTTATCGTTCTTCTCACAGTTTTTTCATTAATTTTTTTTATAGGAAAAGCTCCATTCTAAGATAATGGGATATGTAGATATTATGTAATGTAATGTTAATAATGTGTTCTGCACACTGTATTTAGTTCTATCGATTCTAACAAGATCAGCTGAAATCGACCATATTTAATTCTGTTACAAATTTAAAACATCTTTTCCCTTTTAAAAGCTATTTACAGATTGATATAGATTGATATATTGTGTTTGATCGTCTAAACTGATAGAGATTGACAGTTTGAAAAATCGTACAAAACAGACAGAGTCAACTAAAATACATTGTGAAAAAGGACCCACAGATCATGGAAATAATTAGTTCAACCTTCGTGGTTATCTCGTCGCCAAGATTTGTGTTGAATAAACCCTAACCGAATTTTGCGATTATTTTGCAAGAAAGTAGCAATCTTTACTGGAAAAGTACATATAAAGTCTGAAATAAAGTAATATCAGAAACTCATAAGGGGTTTTCAACTCCTTATGAGTTTCTGGTAATATCTTATACCTCTCTGCTCAGTATGTTTGGACTACTGAACTACGTTCTGCCCATTTCCCTTCTTTGCGGGTGTCAGCAACGCATCCCGAACGAAGTCATATTAAATGCACATGCTCTCACCTTAGAAAACTCTTTACGAACGATGCTAATGTGGCGTTGGAATCCCTGTGTCTTCTCATTTCATTTTTGTTCCCAGAGCCGCGATCCTTCTGGCTAGCGCCAGGAATCAATAGCTCTGGCTGGATCCGAACGGATCTTCCGTGATTCGCGGACTTCCAGCTTTCTGGCCTGCCTCAGAAGACAATAACCGTTACCAACTATAACAAACATGGCAACTATTGCCCTAGTAATTTATTCTGGAGCCAGCCTCCGAGCTCTCTCGATTGGTGGCGTTCGCCAAATGTATCGCATCTCTAGGGACGAGAATATTACCGCTTGTTTTCTTCGGTCCACAGGTTTAAGGCACCCGTCTCTTTCGATGAGTTTAGGCGTTCCGTCTGCACTAATACGCTTGGCGTTTTCATGGAAAACGCATCGATTTGAAAATGCTCTTGAAAGTGGTTCAAAACGAAACGCATACATATCGTATTAGTGTGGACGCAACGCATCAAAACAAAAACGATGACCGAAAATATCGCAGGCGCGTGCGTTTGTAGCATGCCCATTGAGTTCAACTTACGTCACAACGCGCAATTCCATCGTTTTCGAACGTTTTAGTGTGAACAGTCGAAATCTCGTCAAACGTAGAGCCCGTGCTAGAGAAAATAGGACCATTTTTCCCAGTAGAGGTGTCTTACGTCTGAAATCTGGGCCGGTAGGGAGCTGATATGAGGGCCCAGAGATATAGCGGTCCTTTTGTTTTTGAAATTACCGTATATTCGTATATATTTTTTTATTTTAGTATCTCCTTTGGAAATGTATTTATCATGGGTTATGTAACCTTTTCTTTGGGGTGTTACATGGTATGCTGTTCTGTTGCTTCATTAGCGGTAGGCTATATATTTGAGTTGTTCTCATTTATATTCATTCGCGTCTTACGACCGTCCCTACGCCCTCAAAATTATGTCCGATGTTGAAGACGTTACTCCAGCGAGCACAGATTTTCCTGGCAGCGACGTTTTGCTGCCTTCGCTCCCTAAACAACCTTTGTCTCAACCTCTCGAAGCTTCAGTACCAATCCAGTCTTCAGAATCCAGTGATATAGCGTCCGCGTTCTCTCTATTTAAGGATTATTTCGACAAGAAGTTGGGCGCCTTGAAGCGCGATATTCAAGACGAGTCGTGCAGTAATACCGATTCTGTGGCCAAAAAGCTTAAAGAAGAATCCAAGATCACGTTTAGATTCGAAGGTAATAAGAAACAGTTTCAATTCAACTCCGACCTTGCAGAGAAGGTGAAGTCGGCGTCAGTTGCTCTCGGGAAGAGAAAATTAGACCTTGTTAAAACTCACCTGGAAGAACTAGACTCTGACATCAAGAAGCGCAACAAACTTATCAGACTGGCAGACAAGTCCGCCGCCGGTTGGGATTTGGTGAACGAGTATTTATCAGACGAGCTGGCTAGCGGGTCAGAGGACGAAAAGCGTATCCGCCGTGCCGAGCAGAGGGCCCTTCGTAAACGCAACCAACGCCAACAGAAAGCGAAGCCATCCAAGCAAGGTTATTCACAACTCCAATCATCTACCGCAACCACCGCGTTTGCTGGCCAACATTCATCATCCTCCAGACCTATTTCTCGTACTTTTGGCGCTTTCAGCAAACCAAGATCAAGTGATATTTGTTTCGCCTGCGGCCAGCAAGGTCATTGGAGATCTCAGTGTCAAGTTAATCCTCAAGCCAGATCTTCAAGCTCGGGGCCGTCCTTTCCTAGTTCTTCTGGTCTTTCGGGCATTGGAGGTAAATAGGACCACAGAATTAAAAACTTGTTCTCCAAGGTTAGATATTAGCTTTACTCAATTTATTAGACATGTATCCTTCTTATTTGGAGTATTTCAGGGAAAGGGACTCTAGTTCATTAGTCGATTTCGATTATGATCGTAATCTATTTGAATTTGAACAGAATTCCGCATTGCCAGTACTTAAGGGTAGACTTAGGTCCTGTTTAAGTTATTGGCACACTATTGGTGCCAATAGTTTTGTCATCGATACTATTAAATTCGGTTATCGGATCCCATTCATTAGCACACCTTGTCAGGCGCGTTTTTCTAACAATCAGTCAGCTCTTAATAATGCGTCTTTCGTGGAGTCGGCTATCGCTGAATTAGTCCACACTCACGCCGTCGTTGAGGTGCCCTTTATTCCACATGTCGTTAATCCACTCTCTGTCTCGATACAGTCTTCAGGCAAGAAGAGGCTTATTCTGGACTTACGTCATGTCAATCATTTTATTTGGAAACAGAAGTTTAGGTGTGAAGATTGGAGAGTTTTATTATCATATGTTAATAAGGGCGATTACCTTTTCAGTTTCGATCTCAAGTCTGGATATCATCATATCGATATTTTTCCGGATCACCAAACTTTTCTGGGTTTCTCCTGGGTTTTTTCTGGTACCGTTCGGTATTTTTGTTTTGCATCACTTCCGTTCGGTCTAAGCTCAGCCCCATACGTCTTCACCAAGTGTCTCAGACCACTCGTTAAGTTTTGGAGGTCTAACGGGATTAAAATTGTTGTGTTCCTCGACGATGGGTGCGGAAAAGGGGATTCACTGCCTATGGCCAAGGAAAATTCATTGTTTGTGCAATCATCCTTAAGCAGTGCGGGGTTTGTTGCCAACTCCGCCAAATCACTATGGAACCCCACTCAGGTGCTTGTTTGGTTGGGTTTAAACTGGGACTTAGTTATCGGTACCATTTCTATTACCGATAGACGTATTTGCAAATTTATCGCTCTGATTGACAAATTTCTTCTATCCGCACCTTATGTTACGGCTCGGGATTGTGCCGTTATCGCAGGTCATGTTATGTCCATGTCGCCAGTTTTGGGTAACCTGACTCGTCTCAAAACCCGTTTTCTTTACAAGGTCATAGAATCCCGCCGTAGTTGGGATTCCCGTTTTAATATCGGGCTTCATAATGATTGCCTCTCTGAAATATTTTTCTGGAAAAACAATATCGTTAGTCTTAATACGAGACCTATTTTGCCTTATAATGCTCCCCTTTTGTTTAGCTATTCGGACGCTAGCAACGTCGCCTGCGGGGCTTTTGTTGTGGGCACTAATGAGGTGTCCCATCGTATGTGGACTGCTTGCGAAGCAGCTAAGAGCTCTACCTGGAGAGAACTTAAGGCTATACAATTTGCCTTAAGTGCGTTCAAAGCCTCGGTTCGGGGTAAGTGTGTAAAGTGGCATTCTGACAGCCAAGGGGCCGTTCGTGTTGTGGAGATAGGGAGTCCTAGTGCAGAATTGCATTCTATTGCGCTTGATATTTTCTATTTTTGTCGAACTTACAATATTACACTTATTCCCCAGTGGGTTCCCAGGGAACTTAATGCTTGTGCTGATGCGATTAGCCACATTGTAGACTTCGATGACTGGTATACAACCCCCGAGTTCTTCGCACACTTGGACCACCTTTGGGGCCCACATACAGTCGACAGGTTTGCGAATGCTGCCAACGCCCATCTTCCCAGATTCAATTCTAGGTTTCGCGTGCCCGGCACTGAAGCTGTTGACGCATTTTCAATCTCGTGGAATGGAGAGAATAATTGGCTAGTCCCTCCCGTCCACTGCATTACTAGGGCGGTTCAGCATCTCCTTGTATGCGGTGCGGTTGGTACTTTAGTCGTCCCTTATTGGCCGTCTAATGTGTTTTGGCCTTTCTTGTTCGCAAATGCTGTTCAATTCCAACCGTACGTCCTTGAGTACATTCATTTTCCCGACCCCTCAGGGATTTTTGCCCTTGGGTGTTACAAAGATTCACTCATTGGTTCAGACAGGTTTAACAGCGCGGTGCTGGCAGTCAGAATTGGCGCTAAGGGGCCTTAGTTTTTTCAAGCCGAGTGGCTTTATGTTGGCTCACGTGTTTTTTATTCCGCTCGTCGGTTCATTTGTCCTCGTTTCGCATGAAACTAGCTCGCCGAGTGGCTTGTTTACCGTCGTTTTTGAGTTGGCCCATTCGGCCTTAAATAGTTTTGCATCCGGTCAGAGGCATTACCAAGCGTCCATTTTTTATTGCTGTATTGACTCCCAGTGCGTGTACTGAGGAATTTTGCCATATATTTTTGTTCTTATCCTCGTAGAAGTTCTCAAAGATGCCTTGCAGCCTAATTTTCAACAGGTTGAAGACGGGCGACTCCGGGCACTGGTTCAAGATCTCCCCGCAGTTCTTCTTAAATCCAAAGCCGACAGTACCGCGAGGAAGTACGAAAAGGGCTTCAATACGTGGAGAAAATGGGCTTCTCAGTTTAAAGAAATTGTTATATTTCCCGCTTCTAGTGTGCACGTTTCATTGTTCTTTCTTAGCTTGATTCAAGAATCTGCTTCTTGCAGTACTATTGACGAAGTCCATTATGGGCTCAAGTGGGTGCATGATTTGGCAGGTCTACCCGACCCCTGTAATTCCTCGTTAGTTTTACCTTTAATAGAATCTGCTAAGAGGCTTCTCAGTATCCCTGTTAAAAAGAAAGAGCCTGTGACCCCCGAGGCTATTCAGCTTTTATTTTCTAAGTATGGATCGTCTTCAGCTAGTTTGTCTGATTTACGAGTGCTTACTTTGTGCGTTTTAGGTTATGCAGGGTTTTTTCGCTTTAACGAGTTGGTTCAGTTACGCAGGTGTGATTTTCAGTTTGAAGATTCTTTTATGAGAATCTTTGTTCATCGAAGTAAGACTGACGTTTACAGGGATGGGGCTTGGGTTGTTATCGCTAAAACTTTCAAGCATACATGTCCTTATTTATTAGTTCAACGATATTTTGTGGCCGCTTCTTTTTCAGCAGACAGCGAAGAGTTCATTTTTCGCCCTCTTGTTTTTCTTCGCAGTACCGGAGCTTATAAATTGCGCGGGTCTGTTCCTTTGTCTTATACTAGAGCGCGGGAGATAGTGCTTAGCGCTTTCGATTCCATCGGCCTTCCCAAGCAAGACTACGGTCTCCATAGCCTTAGGGCCGGAGGCGCCTCCGCTGCTGCTAATGCTCGAGTGCCTGACAGATTGTTTAAAAGACACGGCCGTTGGAAATCAGACAAGGCAAAAGACGGTTACATTAAGGATAGTGTTCATTCATTGTTGTCGGTTTCATTATCACTGGGTATTTAATTTTCCGTATTTCCCGTTCTTTTAGTTCGCACACGGCTCGTGTTGACACACCCCAATTGAGGTTGCTTGTTACATGATAAATGTTTTATATTCGTTTGAGCGGGGTAGCGAATTAGAATATAAATGTATTTATCATGGGTTATGTAACCTTTTCTTTGGGGTGTTACATGGTATGCTGTTCTGTTGCTTCATTAGCGGTAGGCTATATATTTGAGTTGTTCTCATTTATATTCATTCGCGTCTTACGACCGTCCCTACGCCCTCAAAATTAAATACCCAGTGACCAGGGGTTTCTCTTAGACGTAGTTTTTTGCATGCTGCTATATGAAAAGTTTAGCACGTTTTGTATGAATCATTGTTATACGAGCATAGTTTAGATCATTTTGTTGGGTTGTTTTCCTTGCTGTAATTTTTTACATTTCCGAGTTTTCATTCTGTTTGTTGTGTTATTTCCATCCATTCTGTTGATGAAGGCATAATAAAGAGGGTCGCACACGGCTCGTGTTGACACACCCCAATTGAGGTTGCTTGTTACGTGATAAATGTTTTATATTCGTTTGAGCGGGGTAGCGAATTAGAATATAAAAGACGATATGTATTGTTCGCCGGTTTTTTTCTGGATTTGAATACTTGGTGAGCAAAATTCCTTCTTTTCGAAGTGAAGACATTGCTCATTTTTCCTATAGTTTATCAGTGAATTCAAAAGTTTCCTAGGTAAACTGACCATCATGCACGGCTGCGATGGAGAACAGATCGAGATAGAATGACGTAACGTTATTGTGCAAATTCATTTTTTTCAAGTCTTTTCCCATATGGTGGTTGCAAACGAAAGGAATACATCTTAAGAATAACTAAATGAGAGATCTCACGTAATGGAGGTGATGGCTGCCTACAAGGTACCATACAAAAAGGCTAATATTTAGGTTATTTGCGTCGTAATCCGTCACGCTTACTTGACGCGAATTCCACGCTTCTCTGAAGACTGTAGCTGGCATTCCATGAATTCACAACCATGACAAAAATTCACATTCGTACGTGAATATGTCGAAGGGTAGGCATTCTTGGTTTCTGTTTAATCCCAACAGCATTTTCATCAACATGCAGTTCTAACTAAGAACTACTACGAGCCATTAATCAAGAAAAGCGAAAGAGGGTTAAGAAAGGCCCAGTAGCTTTAATAAGAAAACCCTTTTTTACATCCATTGTTTGTTTAGACAAAAGAAAAATAAATCGCCGTTACGAGATATTTACAAATTATTAGCTTTCTTTTATTGTATTGCAATGAACTTTACTATTGTTAGGAAACTTGATAAATCTTTTAAGCTAAAACGCCGTATAAAGAAAAAGCTTTTCAATTATTTTCTTTACCAAGGTCTCCAAAGCGGGTCATTGTCGGGTCTTAGAGCGTGTGTTGCTGGATTATTTTGAAAAGCTTGAAAGTCGCTGGCTGTCTTATTAAAAATAGGGATTAGCTGAGGGCTGGAGACCATGGTCACTGGTGCATTTTGGCTCGGTACAAGGATAGCAGCGATTTTTCCGTGAGCTAGTTGTCCTGGAATAATTTGAAACTGAGCTGTATTCAGTAGATGAGGACTCGCCTCTTCGGTGTACTTGGTTAGACTTGGGGTTGGCAAAGCGAAACTTGTTGATCCCAGAGTTGAGGCCATTGGTACAGCTGCAATAGGCTGCGGTTGTTGCATCTGCTGTTGTAGCTTTTCTGTTGCAGACTGCATTGGTTTTATTGCTGTCGTAGCGCAAGGCGTACAGTACGTCGCGAGATGCGATAGTAAACGCGCGCGAACTTGCGGGTCCAGTCCGTCCAGTGACATCAGATAGCGGGTAACTTCATTCACGCATTCGTTATAGCCCGCGCGATAACGCGCCATGGTATTAGGATCACTTGTATTCACGCGACCTGCAGTATAACAAGAGATGTATACCTTGTAAGCGCACACCACGTAGCCTTTTGTTTTTCTTACATGTAAACAATTATCAACAATTTATTAACAAGCTTATATGTTAACTGTACAACTAATAACGTACAGTAAAAATTGAATCCATCACGCTGTGTGATTTTGCAGTTGGTTTTCTGACAATGATTATAGATTCCTCGTTTACCCACCTGGCATATTTTGGTTCCTAATAGAGCGTAAATATCGCACCGTCATCTCCAAAATATCCGCTTTCTCCAGTTTTGAATAGCAGGAAGTCTGAAGAAGAAATATCGCAGTTTCAGATAAGGTAGTTAACACCAGTCATATTTTAAGTGTTAACGACCTGCTTCGTTTTCATTGCGTAAATGAAGTAATAACTAAAAACAACCTTACGCCCCTAAATCAAAACGAGTGTGAAACTTTGAGAACAGCAGACGCTTCATATTTTATCGTCTGCTTTTTTTTTTTTTTACAGGAAGCCTGAGTTAGTTCTGAGTTTGCTTTGTGACATGTCTCAAATTTACTTACGTCTTTTTTCATAGCTTCTAAGATGAGGTTTTTTAACTCATTAAGACTTTGATTTATCCTTGCGCGACGCCTCTTTTCCATTAAAGGCTTTGAAGACTAAAAACAAAATTAAAGATCAAGTTAGTTAAGAAAGACTTCACTAAGCCACCCAGTCCTTTAGTAGAATGTAAAAGCTATGTCTTAAGTTTGTAAGGGATTTTTTTACCTTTCGTCTATCATCACCAGTTGGGTTTCCAGATGGACTTTCAAGACCCATTTTGACAGAAAGAATTTTCTTCCAAGCAACTTGTTTTCCACAGACTTGAGCTTTTGATCACCTTACTAGCAAGTCTTGTTTGCTCTAAATGCTTTTATGCTCTGATTTCATGCGATCGTGGGAAAATTTTACCAGACTTAAAACTTATTCAAAAGTTTAGCCCGAGGGCCAATGAAAAGGCCTGTACGATACGCTGTAAATAATCTATTACTAACAGAGCGTGAGAATGGTTCTCTCTGATTGGTTTAGCTCTGTATAGCAAGCAAAGCGACAGTGATCAAACTGTTATTTAGAAGCTAATTATCTAGTTCTTATACAGTGATCCATGCGTACACAAAAGTTCTTATTAATTCTTCATTAAGCAAAAACAGACAAACCCTTTGTAGTTTCTAAACCCCATCCGTGGGAACAGTTGGCGCTCATTGGTGGAGCTGCTAAACACAACTCGCGCATAACAATACTAATAAAGATGTTTAAACAAAACGTTCAATGGGAACAATAAGTGTTTATTTCTGCACGTGCCGAATCATTGTGTTAACTTGATTCGCACTCGATGAGGTTCACTTATGAGACGACCCGACCGTGAGCGAAACAAAGGGAGCTGAAATTTTCCCACGATCGGTCCTGACGTGTATGTTTATTCATGAATATCCATAACAATTAACGCTTAAAAACAAGTCTAAACATATACACGACCAAAAATTTACCCAACGCTCTAAGAAGTGTATAGTACATACTTTGTCTGGAACACCTCTTTGTTGAGAAATGACACCTTACAGGTTTCTTTTTTTCAAAAACAGCTTAAAGAAATTAGTTTCGTTGATTTTTAACCTCTGATCAGGTAAGTCTACAGTTGCAAGTCCGCCTCCCTGTGGCTTAAAGAAATCACCTATCCATGACGAATTTGAATACGACTCTTTAAAACATTTTTTTCCTATGACTTGAGAACAATGCACCGCAAGTGAACATGTGAGGCACTCGTGAGCGGAGAATGCCTCAACTTGATCAGAGTTCATTTTCATAATAATTAACTCTCAGGAGATTTTATCTGATAACTTTAAATTTCAAATTAATATTGCCGAGATCAAATAAGTGACATGTGCTTCCGAGTCTTACGTATAAGTACTTCTTTCAGTGTAGTCAAACAAGAATTTTTTTCAACATTCTCTTCTTTTTAGTCACTGTGGACATTGTTAAGAGTTGAAACAAATCTTCGAAGTTTTGGATTGTAAAACATATAGATTATCAAAACTAATGGATAAAGAGAAATTTTGTGCGTTCTCTAAGAAACATTGAAACTGTAACTGGCTTTATATTAACAGAAAAACATAGACAAGACAACCACACCCAAATGTTTGCAGTGCATGGTACACTGAATTTATTGCTTTATTATAAACCTTGACAAAATAATCCTTTTTTAGTCGTTTTCAAGTCTGTTTTTTAATAAAAAATCCACAAAGAGGAACAATAATAATTAAATTCCTTACATAGTAAAGGCAAAACCCATATCACATTGTAACGTTGAAGAAAAAATGCTAAAGGAGAAAGTGACCGAACAGTTAGAACTAAAAATTAATTAAAAATTTTTTCATTACAGTGGAACTCCAATAGAACGAGGTACCAAAAGACTGGAAAATCGTCCGTTATAACGGGGGAAGGCGGGGGAATGGTATATCGCCGTCCTCCTGTTCTCAAAGCTCTTGGAACTCCGCCCCTGGGAGATCTTACTCACAGACTATTTTCGTACATCTTAGAATAATATCAGGGGGGCGAAGAATATCATTTGTTATATCGGGCTTTCGTTATGTAGGGGTTCATTATATCGGAGATTTAACAACACACTAATAGTTATTAATACTACTCAAACTAGCCTAGTGCTTTGTAGTAATTAGCTGATACTAATTACAAGATAGATATATAGTGTGTACACTCTAGCAAAGAAGAACGAAAAGTGCAAAATAAAAGAAACTTTTTTAAAAAAGATTACCTGTCAATAAATTTTCAGCATTAACGCTGCCTCCTTATTAAATAAAAATTCAATTAAATAATAACTCATAGAGTTTTAAGAAAGCGATAATTTTTTTTGCAGAACAATTTTGTTTTAATTAAAGACCACGTAGATTCAAATATCATGCACGTAAACTTTATATTATTTCATGTTAAACATGTAATTCTATATTCTTATAGCCTTTTATAACTTCTATAACAAAGTTTTTTTGTTTCATCTTTTTTCTTAGAAATGACAAAAATTTGTCAAGAATTATTGCCAATTAAAAATATGGCGTAGTCATCCAGGGTTCAAGACCCATTTTCACCCAAGAATACATATGGCAACACCTTAATTAGAAACAGTTGGTTTGAATTTGTGGCGGGGTACACTGAAGATAAGACGGTTGGTTAAACTGGACGATTTATCATTAGTGATTGCCTGAGAAAACATGGCCATTTTCCACCCACCTTGTTTATTTCTTTTTGAAGTAGAAGGAGTAAATTAACACAATAGGCACTACATCGTGAGCTTTCATTAAATAACTTTCCCGCCATCTATTTGAAACTTTTATGAATAACACGCCGCTCGAAAAAACTGAGCATTTTAAAAGTTAAGAACACACAAGACGGAGTAGTTTGGATCAGTGATAATAGAGACCTTCGTAGATTCGAGGATTAGGACGACCTCGAGGAGGAGATTTGACTTGAAGTCTTTTCTCGCGAATTCTCAAAAAAGAGTCACTCCGTAAAGCTTCATTTTACTATTTTTCGACAGAAAAGTCAACACGTTTTTTTTTATTGAAGGAGTTTGAGCCCTAATGATAAAACTTCTAACCTTTGATTACTTGTTTCCGTGACTACAAGGGGGACAACGACTATCGCGTTTTCCCGCCAAAATGACGCTGGTTTACGCGCGCGCACTTCTTAGTATTTAGTAGTCTCGTTCCCTTGGTCGTTCTCGTCTTAGAATCGAAAGGCCACTCCCTGAAATGGAACCCGGAACCTTGACAAGCTTTATTAAGGAATCGGAGGTTTCCAGACGAAAGGCCTTGTATCAAGTCCTAGAGGTACAACTCCCGACGACGGAGTCAAACTATTATTCAGACTCAGTTCTTTACCAATCACAGGAATGAGGCCAGGTTTCGTAGCAGGGGAAGTCGGTTCCATTAGCAAGGGATTCAGTGTTGGAAACAGCAGTGCAACTTTACCGCTTGATATAGGGTAGGAGGTCAACTGAAACTGGGTAGCAGCAGGCAACACTCCCGGACTGCTTTGCAGCTGAGTGGGAAAAAAGGGTAAACTAACTGGAGAAGTTACTGATGGCGTTGGTAGCTTGGGTAATATAGGTTGATTAGCAAAGACGGGTTGAGGCAGCTGTACCCTCGTTTCAGGGACGTCTATCGGCTTGGTTGCCAGGCAACGGGCTGCTAGATGTTCAAGGAGCGTGGTTCGGAAAGTGGGGTCTGTATTGTCCAGGCTGCTAACGACTCGAGTGATTTCTGATGCACACTGATTGAAGCCAGCACGATAGTTTGCAAGGGAGACCGAGTTTGTTATAGAAGGAGTGCCTAAGGAAAATTGTGAAAGTAAATAAGTTATTGATAAACTAGCACAAGGTGCGTAAAAATGCAAAAAGAGGCAACGAGTTCAATTATAAGGCACTTATAGAAATCAGATAAATTTTATTGGATTCTTTTGTATAAATTTGCTCACAGTACGTTATGTAGGTCGTGCTCCTCAAAGACCAAATGTATGCGCTTTCATTTTGCAGTAGTCGTGGACATGTGACCAAAATTGTAAAAGCGTTTCCAAATGAAAGCTTATACTTTTTCACAAATGTATTTTCCCGAAAACTTGATAATTCAGTAAACAATTTCGAGAACGGATTCTCCTAATGGTCTAAAGCAGAACTGAGGTAGCTTTGGACAGTAGACCTACAGGTTGCTTGAAACAAAACTGTGCGAGCCTTTATGACAGGGGGCATTCAACAGTTGTTCAAAAGAGCTACAGTATTTTCCACTGTATAAATCTCTTTGCAAAGCGTCGGTTTTCCTACATTTTCGGTTTAATAGTGATTATTTTATATTATCGGGATAGATAACACTATTCAACGTTTGAACAACTGGGTCTCGACCTAGTCTACGCTGCAGAATCAGTGTCATTGTGTCTAAGGCTAGGGAGAAAACATCGCTGCATTTCATGCCTTTACATTAGGAGTCTAAGGATATTTTTATTGTTTATTGTGGTAAAGCTGAAAACTTTAAACTTAATTGTATCATTAGAACTTTAACGCTACAATGCATCTCAGGTATTAGTAAATAAGATCAAATAATAGAAAGATAAAAAAAATTACTTTATGGATTCAACAACATTGATGACATTTTACCAGAAGCATCCAAAAGAAACCAACAAAAACAAAGCAAAACTAAGACAATAGAGCAACAAACAAAAAAACTTTAATGGGCATTCCAGAGAAATAAACAGACTATGCAAGCTTTGTGATCAGTAATTCACTTACATTTTGAACAGTGAATCACACTCTACAATGGTTGCATGTGACCGGGGTAGGACTCAGTACAGATGCTGATGTTTAAGGGCGTGTGAGTGATGTCTCTATTAAACTTCTCAATAGACTGATATGAGCTATAACTTTTAGCTGTAATGTAGCATATTGAAAGTTAATTCATACAGACCCCCAACCCGACGAATTCCTTTGCAAAAATAACCATTGGAAATAAATCTTACTAAGTGGGTTGATAAATTCCGACAAAGCACACCTACCCGTAATCTGTTGACTTTTGAGATTTTTTAAATGTTGAACGGTCAGCTCCAAGATATCAGCCTTCTCTAGTTTGGAATAACAGGAATTCTGAAAAAAGGTAGCCGAAGAAAAAAATTAAATAGTTATGTAACCTGCGTCAATGCTAGATATTTCTCGTATTTTCACAGAGCTTACTAAGATACGTGTAGGTATATTCTTCCGTTTAAATGAGAGAAAACTTAAATTTACTGTACAATTACAAAACAAAATTAATGCAGGTTCTCAGCTCCAGAAGCGTTTAGGAAGATTTAATCCGCTGTAAGGATAAATCTCTCCCAAGTACTTAACTTTGCTTTTCGCATGCGAAACCTGTTTAGGTTCTAATCGAAAGCTGTGCCCCAGCTCTGTTTCATTTAAAACAATAAACGTTGTTCTTTGGAAAATAAGTAAAAGTGATCAGATTAGCTCTTTGGAGCAATATCCTGGAGACCAATGACTGAAGTTGGCAATCATTTAATGGACGAAAATGCACTGAAGAACGATTAACCCCAGTGTTCAAACGTCGGATAGCTCTATCCACCGGGTAAATCACTATCCAGCGGATAACTATTTGGGAAACCAATGGCGTTTCCCACTGGACAGAGATTTATCCATCGGATAGCGCTATCCACCTCTTCAACAACTGGGGCCAGGGGATACTTCTAGGAACTGTTAAGAAACCACCCTCTCCCTCTGTCGCTCTTTTTACGCAGGCTGCTCACCTGTTTCTTTTAACCATTAAATCAACAAATAAAAATAACAGCTCGAATTTGAAAGAAACTAACACCTCAAGAAAGCTTAAAGCTCGAAGGTTTGCGCTATTCACAAATCAATCATACTTTGGCGAGCTTGCATCACGGATTTTAATACTCCGAATTATTTAAATAAGCTAGATAACCTTCTTTTCAAAATGACCCGTCAGTGTTCAAAAATGGGGGTTACATTAGAGTGGATGATCTTCTTCAAAGCCATGAAGTATCTCTTTTCAGGTTAATATATGGAATATCACAATAACGAGACAAATATGTTTCAGGCATCAGAAAAACTTTGAACAATTTTGTTAATTTTTCCTTAATATGCACAGTTCATTAAAATTGTCAATTAATCACATATTAAGGGAGTGAGACTGCAATAATTGTTCAATGCGTAACTAAGAGGAAACTAATAAAGTTCCTTCGCTGGCGTCTTAATGGAACTTACATCTTTTTTCATGGCCTCAAGGATCAATGTTTTCAATTCATTCAAACTCTCGTTTATTCTTGCTCGTCTTCTCTTTTCCATGATCGGTTTAGATGCCTGAAAAGGAATGCCAAAAATTGTAAAATTCTCGCGAACAATTTTTATCAAATACATGTTCATCAAAACAATTCAGTGAATTTTAAAGCTAAATACAAAGTAACTTACTTTTCTTCGATTTTTCGTCTTCTCTTCTTCGCTCATTTTTGCTTGAAACTCGATACCACGAACTTGACGACAGACAGCACCAAAGTTACACGAAGGTTCAGAAAACGAGCCTTTTTTCTTTTCGCTAGACGTGTGAAGAATGCATTCTATTGTTCAAACTTTTGTTTATGATAACTGGTCCATTGTAAATGAGCGTGGGAAAACATCCACAATTGTTAACCAAACCAGACATCACACGCACCGGCCAATGGAAACTCATAACCCTGTTTAAAAGAAAGCTGGGTCAGTAATTGATTCTTGATAAAAAGTAAGACGAGGGAATTATCGGTCGTGAGACAAGCGTGTTCTGATTGGCTTTTAAGCAGATAAGTACGCCCGAACGCTGGAAGTCGCGTGCGGATCACAAGATAGCTACAATATTGATCCATCATACACACTGCGGTGAAAAGAAATGAGCATCAGGGTCGTGGGAACAGAACATTCTGATTGGCTGCGGATGCATGCTGCCTTTTCAACGATTTTAATGGTTTCATGGGTCATTCGTTCCGAAAGGAATCTGGGTTGTTCTGTTTTGCGGCACACTCCTGTATTGTATTGGGTGCGAAGTTGGTATAAATAATCAGCAAACAAAGCAAGTATTTACAGATCACACGAAAGCTTTCTCTCTCTCCACATTTTCAACAGCGCAAAACAATGACCAGGTCAAGCACACAAAATAAATGACGACTCTTTGTTCGAGAGTGAAAAAGATTTTTTAGCTGATTTTGTTCACATTACACTCTGTTCTCTAATGCTACTGTCACGATTATAAGTAAGTGGAACTATGATTTTCCGCATACTGTGTACTGGTTCTGAATAAGACTGTTGTTAACAGTGACTGACGTTAATTATTGACAACCTGTGAGGTAGTCATCTTCTTCAATTCAGAGTCAAAGTGAGGTGTATATCGTCAGTTTCTCGTCAATTGATGTTATTAAACTCCGTTTATTGACCGATTAGTCAATTAACTGGCGAGATACAACTCACTTTAACTCTGAAGATGACTACCGCACAGGTTGTGCCAAAACGTCAGTCACTGCCAACAAAAACAGTTCTAAGGACTACACTCACCCACACGAGCATATTCCACTTACTTACGACACGTTTGGTTTCAAACCAGAGAACCGTTCACTCTCTCATGATTATTGCTTGAATGAAAGCATGTTGAATGTTGGATGTTTGAAGCAACCCTCCCTAAAATGCCCTAAACTCCTGCAGCGTTTGGAAATAACTTGAAGTAAATTTTTGAAGAGTCAGAGAACATGAATTACGTGCTAAGCTGAATATTCACTAAAAAGTATTGTTAAATCAAGAGGGAAAATAACCTGTATAACTTGTTCGACTTCATTGAAATAAAAACGTTCCTCGATTCCCGGCCCTTTTTTTCACTGCAAACTACTTATAAAACCTAAACAATGAAACAAAAAGAAGGATAGGATGCGACAAAAAGCGTTTATTTTTTTCCAGAAATCTCAGTGCCCGCAGGGTTTTTCAATCGCCCAGCTCCTTCTACAGATATTGTGACTTTTATCTCTTATTACCATGTTCTTTATGCGGTCTGGTCATTGAAAAGAATCCGGCACTGAGGATGGAATTCATTTATCTATTACTTACTATTTTAAGGAGAATAAACCATCCTATTAATCGAAGTTACAGACGTCAAATCCTTTGTCGAGAGAGCGATTACTCAAGAATTTTCCCTAACGACAGTGTTTATTAAATGTTTGAAAATCTCAATTGTTTTTAACAATGGGCTTCAGCAGGCGTTAAATTCCTATAAACTAGGTCATGATGATATATTTACTGACCCAGCCGGCAGCATTCAGCGCGTGCATGGGCGTATTAGAAAAGTTGCTTTCTTTAAAAATGTTTTGTTTAATAATCTCATTTTAAAGGGTAGTTGTTTTCGCTAAAGCTGGTACCCCGAGTATAAACGTAACAACCCAGAAAAAGATATTCTAGTTGAGAAAATACAAATATATAGCCTTGTTTATTGGAGACAGGCAGGGATTCTAAATGCAGTACCCGCTCTTAGTCACCGTAAGATAGAAATGCAACTATTTCAGATTTCTAAAAAAATCACCAGCTAGTTATTAGCCGCTGATATTTGGGGGTAGAGTAGTATGTAAAGATTTTCATCTTAGGGTATAAAGGGATAATGCTCTTGAATAAAGCCGAATTAACTTGAAATCTTCCGCAGGGGATGCTATTTTTGTGTCGTTCTATTGCGCTATTTTTATTTTGCGCTACTGTCCGTCGCCTTCAGCAAAAAGCAAACTAATTTCCTTTAACTTAAATTTCAAGGTCAATTAAGTTGAAATTACGTAAGTCTGTCGTTATTTTAGACTTGATCGCCAACTACAAAACAAAAGTAAATCTTTAGAAGTGCAGTTTCAAGCGGATTCCAGGAAAAGCCGTAAACAGGCCATTTCCGAGTTCCTAAAACTCTCACTTTCAAAACGAGTCGGGCAAAGTGCAAAACCTTCTTGTGAAAATAAGTTTTATTTGCATGAATAAATATCATCTTCATATCAATGAATTCACACTTAGCCTCGTTTTAGAACGGAGGCTTAAGGCAACAGGGAAATGGCCTATTAGAATGAATGGATCGAGCCGCATATCCCTTTGTCGCTTCATTCATGAAGATGACTACAGTCACACTGCTTATGGAGAAGAAACAAGTCTCTAAGGTCCAGGACTTCCTTTCGTTGTCCACTCGTTCGTTACAAAAAAGTCGAGTGACTCTGGGTACGAGAATCGAGAAGGCTCCAAAGCGGTCAAACGTTTGAGGCGTTTCTCTTTCAGTTATTTGATGCAATTTTATTTACCATTAAGTAGAGACACAGACAAGGATGGATAATTTTTATTTCGGTAATATTAAGCTTTCTTCGAGAGAGTGGACGATTTAAGATGAACTTTTACTGTTTTTTTCTTTACATTTCAGAGAAAGAATGTACCGATAGTTTTACACATTTAGAAGTACTGTTTCTTATTTCCGAAACTTTTCGCATACGTAATCTACACAACCTGCAATGTAAGGACATGATAGTTGCGGATACACTGAGTCTCTCACTTAAGTCTCGCCTGAGGTAACAGTGAGATAATTTACTTCGCTACAAAGCCAGGGAACAATAAAAGTTCACTGACGGCAAAAAAGACAGCTACCGAGATGTTAAACAAACCATTCTATAGCCGGACTGGCTCAAATTTCCGGCTTAAAAGACACAGCACGCCTAGAGCACCGCGGCAAACAAACTTTAGGGTGACCGCTTTAATCTCGGTAAGCAAATGATAAATGTACTACGACTAAAATTCCCCGAGAAATTATTTTTCACACGGTGAGTGTCGCCATGACATCGTCTGTTTTGGTTTGGTGCTCACAGTATTTGTAGCACCGTGAAACTATTTCCTTTAAGGCGCTAACATAAGTTAAGTTCAAGTTGTGACTTGTCGTCCTGTTGACATCAGGCCAAGATTTTTCCTGACTGTATATCGCATGAAGGATATCCTCTGCCAGGCGTTCATATAGTAGAGCGCAGAGTTCAGATGGTAGGGAGCGAGTTAAATCGTACGCGAGAAAACGAGGGAAAAAACGAGGGGAGACTGTGGGGAGAGCGTTCCCTCCCCTTTCCCTCTGTAGTCTCCCCTCGTTTTTTTTTTCTCGTCAATTTTTTTCCCGCGCTCTACTATGTGAACGCCTGGAACAGACTACATGAAGGAAAAATGCCTTGCCTTGAACTTTGCCTTCGTATAGTTAAATTTCAGAACACAATTAGTGACTGCATTGGTGCCTGCTTTGATAGGATAGGGAAAATGAAAAATAGATTCTTCTACTTCTGTAACAAATAATTATTCGAAAACTACTTCTGCTGAGTAGGTTTTAATAACACCACACGGCATTAAAACCTTCCACAGTAATATTCCATAAGTAGTTTTAGTACCGTTGGGCCAAATTCTTGCCTTAAAATATTCTTGCCCTATTACATTCTTAAGAGAAATGACGCACCACGTTTACGGCAAATGACAAAGATGAACATGAGACCATTTCCCGCCACTTACTAAAGTTTTATGCACGAAAACTAGGAGACGGTGTGCCCAAATTCTCGAAACAACGTGAATACATTTAGAGAGATCTAAAGTCACGTAACGGCAAATGCCAATTTGCTCCACGTGACCAAGTTTTCTCTCTATGTTTGCCATACATTTGTAGGAATTAACTTGCACAGCTCTTTTCTACCGATTTCCCATTAGAGAAAATCGCAACTTGAATCTGACGTTTACCGTTTCCTGTAAAAGTGATTCTAAACGCGTGTATTAGTAGCCTGTGTACAGACCCCCCTCCCCTCAGGAAAAATCGGAGAAGGGGCGTCTGTGATTCACCGTTGCTAACCGTGTATGGAGGCCATTAATAATTTCTCACCCTCTCAATTGTTCGATAGAAATGTCGCATGCACCGACATTTAAAGAACTGGAATGACATGAAGCATGAGCCACGGAAATTTTGGTCGCCGAAAACTATTGTTTTTATTTATGCAGAATTATTGCAATACACGATTAGCGACGGTGAATCACAGACACCCCTTTTCCGATTTTCCTGAGGGGAAGGTTAGGGGGGTCTGTACACAAGCTAGTGTATTAGCAATCCTATGGACATCTCCGTCTTTTGCCGTAACCGTAATGCTAGCTATCTTTCTATCTCTATTGCTGTTGTTGTTTTTCTGACAGATGTGAAATTATTAGTCATCTTCAATGAAGGTCATCTGGCCTGGACCTCCCTTCTTCATGTATCGTCTGAAAAAATAACAGTCAGTACCATTTAACCAAGAAATGAAAGTTGTACGGCAACCAGGGATGGTATTAATCTATGTGACAGTTTTCAGCAAGGGAGTAAAGGCGAAATAGGGCACGCGAAAACACGAACGGCGCGCGTTTTTGCGTTTCACGCGCACGATGCGCAAAAGGTTGCAATGAACGTTTAACAGGGGCTAAGACCGTCACGCAATTTTCTATCTTTTTTAAAAAACTAACACCTGACTTCACGTCAACTGAAATCCAAAAAGAAAACTGCAGTTTTTTTATGCTACGCCAGCAACTATCACCAGAAAATTATTACGTTTAGTACCTCTGATGAAGTTTGTTTGATATCTTCTTTAAAACTCTACAGGGCATTTTTCGTAAGACTAAGGGTACTAAGTAATGAGTTCAACACAGAATTGACTTAAAACAGCGCCGGATATCCTCGTGACAGCTAGCCTGCGTAGCATGGCGATTTTGGTTGGGCGCGCTAAATAATAAAGGCGAGCGAGGGCAGAGAAACCGCGAGGAGATTGGGGCAGGAGCAACTTTTCTCGCGGCTTCGCCGCTCAGTCGTGCTCCCGACAAAAACGCCATGCTACGCAGGCTACGTGACAGCCCCATTAAAGGGCACGATTCAAATAGGGATTACCAAAACCCCGACCACAACAAAACACACTAGGTAACCCAAACTAGTTTCTATAGTACTTGTATTGTGTTTAAGCCGTTTATTACCTGTAGGCTTTGAACTTGTTACTTTGAGCCATTTTAATTCTCATTTCTTCTTCTTGTTCAGTTTTGTACTCCTACGGAGAAAATCAAGAGGGCGATCAAAAGTACGTCAACAAGCAGAAAACGTCTCTGTTCCGCTACGCCTTCTATTAAGGATGAAACTTACTGCCGTTTTCTCCACGCAACACTGCAACAATAGCAAATTTTATTCTCCAGTGAAAGCAGCGCTGTCGAATTTTTTATTTTGGAATATGTGAAAAAAGAATGACGGATTTTACGTGCATGGAACACACAATGTGATGGACAAAATGGGGTTTGTTTTGCTACTCTAGCATTGCAGACTGCAAAAGATCCAACGACGTTAACTTCAGTTTGTGAACTCTGTCCGGCCTACAACTAAATTTTGTCCACAGAACAGCTTTTCCACGTAACAGTTACTCTCTTTGTGATCAGTTTCTATGACAATTAAACATTTATTGCAGGCAACAAGGGGAGCCCACAGTCCTAATCTGAACCAACAGGTTGTTATCACGCATGCGTCGCATGTATGTAAGCACCATTCGTTTGGAGTTCCTCTAAGAGTGAATGGAATGCAAAGAACCCACTCTGATCACGCGTGTTCGAACCTTAAGTACCTTCTATCACTCGTTTTAACCTTCTATCACGTGAAAGTTACGCAAAGAACCAGCGTTGGAGCAAGAGCGTTTTGACCTCCGATTAGAAGCAATAAACTCGCCCGCACTCTCTAACCTTTGGTTATTTACTAGTATAAGTCATAGGTTTGAATCAGTCATAGGTCATAAGTTTAAATCCTGTCTGGCATTCAGGATTTTTTGCACTGTCCCGCGCCCACGACGACATCTCTCACATCCATTTCTGAACTTAACCTTCACCAGCTTTCATTCTTAAGGAGATTTCTTTTCTCCAGGAGATTTAACTTACTTGGAAGTTAGAATCAATCCACAACTGGCGTGAGAAGAATGCTTTTTTCTCCGCAGGATCTAAAGCATCCCAGTGTATGGAACTCAAACCCAATTTTTTCCTTATAATGTATTGTTTCTCTTCATCACCATACTCCTCCCCACATATGGTAAATTTCCAGTGCCAGCGCAACAGCCATGCAATGTAGCATAAAATCGTATAGGGACTAAAATATAGAAAAAAAGATTGAGTTAGCAATTTTGAGCGAGCGGTTGCCGAGAGATAAGGATTCTATTGTCACAGAAAATTATTAAGAAAAAAGCAACAACAACAACAAAAACAAACAAACAAACAATTAAAAGCTTTTAATTGGCTCAAAAATACAGCCTCTACATTGTAATCATCGATCCTCATTGCGAAGAGGGATGGCTGTATTTGAAGGCTAATATTGTAGGTAAAATTATTGACAACTCACAGAAATACAATCCTCAGCCAAAGGACATCTGTTATTTTTGGTTTACTGTAACCTCCCCTAAGAAAACAATAAAATATTAGGTCTGAGGGACTATCAAAGAGAAACAAGACATATAGTTACACCATACATGTAATTACATAAATTAAGTTCCCTATAAAATGCAGCCAGGTGCCTTGGATTGACTCCTCAAAAGTTGCTTTCTCTTCATGTCAAATTTTTAAGCCAAAACCTAAACAGCAGTACTGATGGGCCTTTATTCCAAACCAATCCATTTTGTTTTGTTCACTTACTTTTAGTTTAAGACTTTCAAGACAATAAAACACAATCTCAAATGTAAACATGGCAAACAGCTTTCTGTGGCTAGTAATAATATTATTATTAGCAGGACTTAGGTAGACTTCCACCATGTTATTTTTACATGCTTAATAGAGGCAATGTATGAAGTGCTGTGTGTAAACATGAAAGTTGACTAAGATAAATTCAACTTTTATGTTTATGCGGGACCTTTCAGTCATATATTGCATCTAGTTATTGGGCTGTCCCGTGAGGGCAACACCCAATCAAGAATTACCTTCCATCTAGATAAAAAAAGACGAAATGGTGAACGGAACTCCCAGAAGGCTTTACGTGTCTTATCTCTTCTTCAACTGGGCTGATTTTTGGGAGGGGACAGGTCATTTTAGGATGTCTGGCAAACAGACTTTGAAGTCCATTTGGTAGGAACACAAAATTATTGTGTGGGGTCAAAACATCTCCAGATCGATCAGTCGATCTTTGCGTCCTACGGGAAGCATACCAAAAATTATTTTGTGTCTTTGGGGATTTTTATGCATCAGGGACACAGAACGCAGAGGTAACAAAATCACTGCATTTCCATTAGAAGAGTAAGTGACCAGACAAAATGTCCTTTATCCAAGGACTTGATGGACAAAGCCTATTTTGACCGGACATTGTCTGTTGACCAGCCATTACACATTATTTTAAGCCCTGCAAAGTCTACTAAGGTCATTGAGCTTTGCAATACATGTACATCTCACCACAACAAGGTTCATCGCGGGGAGGAAGGTGTGGGGTCAAAATCATCAAACTCACCTGATGTCCAGAGAGTTTTCAACAACTTCTCTGAGTATGGATTCCTCTTCTTCCTTTATTTCTTCCTGTAAACATAGACAAAAGAGTAAGACAGAAGTAAGTCGTAAGACTTAGTGGGGTGGTCAGTGGCACTTTCTTAAGCTGTATAGCGGGGTTTTTGAAAAATCTGTCCACAGTCTTGGGATGCTTTGTTCTTCCAACTAATGGTAAGTGGCCGCAAATGGCCACCAAGGCCTTGGTGTTGAGTTCAAGGTCAGTGCTCATGTGAATAGAAGTACATGAATACATACACTGTATGTACCTTCAGCGTTTTCCATGATGCCGATGCTGCATTTTCTTGTTACATGCTGAGACGTTAGCAAAGATGTATAACAAGGAGAAATTTCACGAAAGAGGAGTTTTCAATGAGGTTAGCGGACACTTCATTTCAGTTTATAATCCACAATTTAAAGACTTGTTCTCCACTTCTCTCATATTTTGTCACTATAGTGGTGCAAAGCACGTTTATCAGCTTACAGAGGGTAGTGCATTGCTTGTCATCTGGAAGCTGTTATAAGTGTAAGCTGTCATGTTGTCATGAGCTTATCTGAGCAAGTGTCCTTTTGAATAAAATACATGTAGTTGAATTCAATATTAGTCTTGTTTACTGTGTGGTTCTATCAAATTTCCACTTACATGATTCGGTTCCTCAGTTGATACTCAAACTAAAAGTCCTATCTTATTCACAAATGCATATACCATTCTGTAATTAATTTATTAATATCAAGGCGGTCCTCAACATCAATTGATGTATCTCAAATGTAAATACAATTTTTGCCCACACTTCCTAAGCATTGGAACTATAGCTAGTATATAGTCAGGTAGACATCCCTATTTTCTTCAGTGATTATCTTTTCTGCAGCAAAAGTGGACATCTATCTTAAACTTACAACCAAACAATTTGAGAGAAACAGTAGTACCTTAGATTTCTTTCCCTTTTTCAAGTTATTTAAAAGGCCTTCTTCTCTTGCTCTCTGCATAGCCTTGTTTCGATATTTTGGCATTGTTAAGGCATACTTTACAGCTTCATTGTAACGAGACCAGCCATGAAGATACTGAAAAAGGAAAAATCATCTAAACACTCTTGAAACTGACAATATTCAGATTGTCTTATAAATCTAAGTCTTGGGATTACTTTACCAACCATGGAGAATACATTATTGCTGGTACTGGTTTTGTGTTTAGTGTAGTCAATATAGGTCAGTTGTCTCTTGGCAAAAATTCTGAAGTTTCTATGGTGGGTCTTCATAAGAATATACAGGTGTAAATACCCACGAAAGATGTATGTGGCAATTTTTTCTGGGATATTGCCTTACAAATTGTAACAATTTTCACCTGACTATTGCCCTGGTGTCACCTGTTCATTATGATAAAGTTGTGTTTGTATTATTAATGAATGAGTGAATATTATACTTTATTATTTACTTAATAAGCAACTACCCATCACCCATTATTATCATTATTACTGTACATTACTGTACTGTACCTGCAGCAAAGATACAACTGTTATAGACACTGCTATGACGACTCGTACATCCACTCTTGGAGTAACTCGTCTTCTGTAGTAACGATAATAGTGCCCATATGTCTCCTCTGTTGAAATTAAAACACAACATGTTTCAGGTGAATGCAATTCAAACGGGACAGACAGCAAATTGTTGTTGCTTGAAATATCTGCATGTTGTATGTTCTATTCATCAGTAGGATGCCTAAAATGTGCGCAATTTCACAATTATTGGTTTGGACACCATTCAAGTCCACCATACTTGAATCCCCAAATTTATGCAAAGGAGCATGGATCACCCATGCTGCCAGCACTGTGAACAGCACTTTCAGGGTCATAAGGGCTGTCACTTTTTTGTTAAGGAGGTGGGAAATGCCATAATTATCATCTTTCTCCTCCTCATCGTCATAACGCTGAACAAGAATAAACAAGACTAAGGCCCGGGCCAAACATAACATTTTCAAATCTGCTGAATTTAATGCTAACACCCTTGTCAGGGTGCAAAGAAAATCATTTTTAAAGCTTGCCATTCGGGCAAGCTGAAACTAACATTTACTTGCCCAGACGTCAGTTCAACCAGCCTCCAAAACATTTTGACTAACAGAATTGGTTTCACAGTTCTTCTGTTATTCAAATTCCTCAAAAAACATCACTTGCCCGTCAGCAAGTTAAAAACAGAATTCACAAGCCCGATAGCAAAATCCACTAGTCCTGGGCTACTACTTTCTTTGCACGCTGATTGTTCTCTATCAATGTCTTGCATAAGTTTCGGCACATGTGAAATTCAGATGTTTGAACTGTGCCTAAGCCCCACTGGCATATTTTAAAATGTATGTCATGCTCCAGCCAGCCATACTGAAGTCAAAATTAATTTGATCCATGGAAGATCCAAAATAAGAGCAGTGGGACTCAATGGAAAATGACCCATGGATCCACGGACCTTCATGTTATGAAACAATAATTGCAATTATTTTTTTTTGTAATTTTTCTGCATGCAAAGTATATGGAATGGTACCTGGGTGATCCAACATGTAGTCATAATCTGCTCTTTGTTCATCATCTTTTAAGACCTAAAATATATGTCAATATCACCATCAAGGACCTTCCTATTGTTTACTCTAGAGGCTGTAAAATATCACCTGAACATTAAAGATATTATCAAATCATAAAGATATTATCTTATTAGGGAAAAACTAAATAAAAGTGATAAAAAAAATTTATTCAATTTTGAACATTGCATTATTTTGTATATTTTTTACCTCATAAGCTGTTGCAATAAGTTGAAATTTAGCTTCAGCGTCTTCACCCTATAAATCAAACAAGGATGAAATATAGTAAAAAAATCTGATCCTTTTTTTATCACACCACCAACAAAAATAGATATTGCTTTATACTTGAAGAAAAAAGAGTATGGATCTTATGAAACTTATGAAAATAAAAATGAGTTCAATGCAGTATAAAAACACTATTCTGAGAAAATGTTCACTTGTATACTAAGTAAATGAACATAAAACTCATACAGTGAAACCGCGCCTTATGGCCACCTCAGTAATATGGTCACCTCGTTATAACGGCCACTTTTTTTGGCAGCTCAGCAAAATGGCATTCATTGTCTTGTAAAAAAACCCTCGTTAATACAGTCACCCGCTGAAACGGCCAAATTTTTTTGCCCACTGGTGACCGTATAAACGAGGTTCCACTATAACAAATTTGTAACCTTAACAACAGCCATCTCTCTATGGCCATTAATAAAATTGCTTTGTGTTGGTGGACTTTCTACACAAGTTATTCACTTTTATGTTAACCTCTACAAGGGCTACAACTCCACAGTGGAAACTGCCAAAATATCCAAAGTAAACTAATCCTCAATCATAACCAGATACATTTTTGACCAGTAAAATCTGTTCTCAGTTTAAAATGGTACCAGAGCCGGTGTTGTCCAAAGCTAAGTTAAGATAACCCAGGGTTGGTGCAATAATCTTAACAAGCAAATACAGTTTAATTCTTGCTTTTGCAAGAGAAGGAAACCGGGATAACAATTTAACCCCAGGTTATCACTAATCAGCTTTCAAACAACTAAGCTCTGGTTGAAAAATCACTTCAACATGATTTTATTATACCTTCAAATCAATAGGTATACCCAAGTTACCTCACTTTGTATGTTCCACATTTTTGTTCTGAACACAGTTTTCCTTATATGTTTACACCTCCATAGAGACAATAAAATAATTTTATTTGTGTCATTGTACACTTCTATCAACCCCAACAACCAACCCTTTACAAAAGCCACTTAGTTTGATTGCTGTTTGAGGTATAACATTACTTGTCCAAAAAACAACTTTTTTCCCCTAGCTTAGAGCATTAGATCAGCTTTCATTCCCAACATATGGACAGCTCAACAGTTGATTTTTGAAATTTTTTACTGTGAAACAAGAGAATAAGGTAAATATAGGTATTAACCTTCTTGACTGAAATTGTTTGACCCAAAATAAAAGCCAATATGCTGAATGTCTCATGACCCTCCTCTTTACACTAAAAATCAGCTGTAACAAATCTTTTTGCATTAAACTTTCATTAATGAAAAAGGTACGTAGTCTGTCTTGCAAGAATTGAAGCCAAGGAAGCTCAATATAATACCTTATATCGATCAGGATGATACTTCCGAGCAAGTTTCCTGTACGCTTTACCGATTTCACCCTAGAGAGAAATTAGAGCAACTCGTGTCAGAAAAAATCTTGTAGTATGATTAAGCTATGATATTTTAATAGTACCGCCAACATCTGCAGACTATATCACAACAGGTAAGAGTAAAACACTTTAACAACAACACACCTGTTTGTTATATACTAAAACAGATATCAGAAAAAAAGTTAAGGATTGTATTATTTATTAATAATTTGCTTTTTTGGCAAGAAAGACCCTAGAATCTAGATATAGGTGCTATCTGTCTTTTAATGCATTAACACTGGCATTTACGTGTTAATGCATTAATTAAGACATCTCAAAAGGCTGACGCAAAAAGAAAATGTATTTGTGGAAAACACACAAGGGCAAGCTGATATCAACAGGGCTAAATCTACACAGCTGTGACTAAAATTAGACATTTTGCGCATCAAAGAGATATTTTTCTTTAAGAAGGCCTTAAATATTTACTTGTAAGGGTATTTTAACACCACTGTATTATCACTGTATTTGCATAGTAATGGGAAACAAATCACAAAATCGTTTTATGTAACATTCTAAATCATCAAAGTAGTAACCACGAAATCATGGTCAAGATGGAAATCGCGGTTAACAGCTGATTATAACGTAACAACATTTGGTGAAACTTACTTTCGATGACTGTCTGTAGACACCAAGAACTAACAATCAGAAAAAAAAAATCGAATCAGTTTAGGAAGAATTAAATTTCACTTAATAGTTTTGTAACACAGCCAATTGAACTGGAGAGTCCCGTTTTAAAATTCCGGAAAATTCACAATCTTAACTCGTAAGATCAAGAGTTTCAAGTTGACAAAAATAAACAAAAACTTTCTTACCATCGTAGCAGTTTTCTGTTCCACAATAGAGGCCCTCGATAAAGCCATGAACTGAAGAATTAAATAAAATAAGAGGAAGAAAACAAGCAAAGATCAGCCTACTAACTAACATGTTCACTTCCCCGTGATGAAAGAAATGATTTGGCAAAGTTAAGTCAGCGGTTATAAACAAGTGGTAAATATCCCATGAAACCTTTCGAGACATATTACTTGATCCCAGTCTCCTCTAGGAAGTTATCTGGCAATCAATGGAGAAGACTGAACAAAGAGCAGCTACTACTTGGGCAAGTACTCAGTGTTGGTGTAGGAGTGTAAACGACAACAAGATTACGTGTAGGTATCAGAAACAATTTGGAAACAACTATTTTTGTAAGGTTCACTCGCTACCTCCCTAACTACAGAAGCCATGGCCTCGTCCAACCTGAGGTATCAAGGAAAAGTTACAATTGTGACCGGAGGCACACAAGGAATTGGGGAAGGAGTTGTCAGAGAGTTCGGTAAGGAAGAATAGTTAAATATCTACAGCGTTATTTAACTTTAGGGCTTGCCTCTCCTTTAAAATTTGGGGTGATATATTTTATGGGACGGCTGCTATGCACCTATCATTTTTCGGCCATCCTGTGGCGGGGCGGGGGTGGGGGGAAGGTCCTGGGTAAACATAACTTTGTATGGGGAGTTTAATATAGGGGGTTTTGAAAGATTACCCCAGAGGCGGGGGAAATAAGGGAGGTTTGATTTACCACATCCTTGCATGCGGGGAAAACTGGGGGCTTTGTGTAAAGAAATAATTAGGCCGATTTTACAGGGTTCGCACAGTCTTGAAAACTCCTTGAATTTGAGGGGAAGTCCTTGAAAAGGCCTTGAATTCTATTTTTCCTTGAAAAGCCCTTACATTTTTGTGCAAGTCCTTGAATTTTCTTCAACTGTGAATGTAGTGGCCTGGATAGTGTTGTTTAATACGTTTTGGTTGTCCAAGACAGAATATAAATCAATTAGCTCAGAGAAGTTAAAGGTGATTTACATAAAGTGGTTTTTGTCTTATGGAATAATAACCATCAATATAAGACTGTGTAGCATGCATTTCCAATCGAGTTATAGTGCGAATGAACTCGCATCAGAATGCTTCCTTATACACAGGCTAATTTAAGGCCAGTGAACAGAAAAAATTAGAGAAGTTGTTGGAGCAAACAGTTCAAGCCTTAACGTCCTGTTAAAATGAACTGTAAAAATGTTTTTTTTTGTGCAATCTGTGAAATCACATTCCTGGTAAAGTGGTCCTTGAAAATTGAATGTGGTCCTTGAAAAGTCCTTGAAAAGTCCATAAAAAATCATTGTGATTTTCGTATGAACCCTGTTTTAAGTTGCCTTAAATCAAGGATTATATAGACCACTCGTCCAGATGATTGTGGACTTACCTCTCTCCCCGGGGGGGGGGGGGGGGGCTTTTGGGGGGGGGGGGGGGGGTACTTTAGGAATTTCTGGGTGGGGATGTGCCGCTGGGGCCCTGGAACCCTTAACCAATACCAGAGCTAGTTCAGCTGAATTTTGCTACCCTATACTAGAGTAAACTCCCCAAATCCCCCTATCCTAGAGTAGCTGTTTCCCTAGCCTAGATAAAATCTTCAACCAACTGATCAGTTTCCTGAAAAATGATACCCTATTCTAGACTCAAACGCTCTGATTTATATACCCTATCCTAGAGTAAACTGCTTGAAAACCATACCCTTCACAGCGGCACATACCTATATAGCCCATATATGTTAGTACCCCCCGGGCCTCTCTCCTCATGGTGAAAATAATAGCTGATTCAAAGGACTGTGTAATCTCAGGTATTGTTATGTAAATCCATTTCCATTGTGTTATTTCTTGTATATGCTTCTTCTTATCATGCCAGGTGAGCTGGGTCATTATAGTGGCATCTCAAGTTTACGGCTGTGGTTTTGTGTTTTTCAATATGATACCCCTCTAGCAGGGTCTGAAATTGCGACAGCAGCTGGTCACCAATACTCCTAGAAATTGAGAGTTGGCAACCAAAAATTAAAGGCTTGGTGACTAAAAAAGTTTGAAACAGCAGTTCAAGAATTGGAGGATTTTGCGTTTTTGTTCAAACTCGACTTATGTTTTAGCCTGCCAACATCATGCAACAGTTATTTCAGTGTTTCAAATGTTTTGTGTTCAGAACAGTTGAATGGCTGTTTTCGTGGCTGTCGTATTGTTATACAGCGGTTACTGCTCTGACCGATATAACTTTATGGGTGCATTTTATACACACTCACTTTCTTCTTGCTATGAATATTAACATCACTTTTCCTGGTGCTTTGCAGACTGTGCAAATTAAGGTGACAAAGAAGCAGCTAAAGATTTTTTTTAAGGGGTAGATTGATCTTGCCATGTGGAGAAAAGATGTTGGTAACAACATGGTGGCTTCGGTCTGTAATCGACAGAATGTGACTCATGTTTCCCTAGCTTTTGTGGAAGAAAAGAAAGTTTTGACATGATGAACGAATAGAGGAGTAGAGGAGCAGCTGGTTATATATATCATTCTACCTTTATTGCTTAAATTCCAGAACAAATTCCTTTTTCTCTTCGAAAAGCCATCATCTTGAAACAAAACCAAAAATTCAAGGTTATGCCATCACCGGGAAGTTGGTCTGTTTTTGCATGAGCGTAAAATGTCTAAAACATTCTTTCTTTATCATGTTAAAAGAAAAGGAAAAAAATTTCTGGTAACCACTTTATGCCATCTGTAGGCATTTTTATTAACTTGCCAGATTGTACCTGTATCAAAAAGTTATTTTCACACCCTGTCTAGGAGGGGGAATTTCTTAACTTTGATTGCTCTGTGTCCCACAAGTCCCCTTCCTTGACTGGGGTCCACCCCCCCCCCCCCCCCCCCCCCCCCCCCCCCCCCCCCCCCCCGCGGAGGAATCGGACGTCTTCCCCTCCCCCCCCCCTCCCCCCCCCCCCCCACCCCACCTCCTCGCGATTGTCGTTTGTGTGTGTTGGGGGTTTTGGTTTTTTTTGTTTATTCTTAATGTAATTGTTTACCATTTTTTACCTCTGACACCATCACGTTTTTGTTTTGTTGGGTTGGTGTGGGGTGGGGGGAGGTGTCAGGTGCCCCCCCCCCCCCCCCCCCCCCCCACTCAGGGGATGGCAGATGATAAGTGCATTGTTCACCCTCCTCCAGTGCACCCTGTGCCTTTGCACCTGCCTACTAAGGATGATGAGTTTTTTGAAGAGGGGTTTGGATTTTTTCTTTAAAGAATCCATCAAACTCTAGATCCTTTGGACAGTCTTCCTCACAGGCGAGGTTTCTAAATTTGTTGCGTGTGTAGGGCATGGAACGTAAGTGGATGTTAGAGGTCTGCAAAATCAGATTTGCCATTTAATTTCTGTTAGCATACTGTTGTAATCTACCATTAAGCAATTTTATCTGAAGAGTGCTGCACAAGTTGTGCAGTACAAAACTAGTCAGGGGTGTAGCTACCTGTATGCATGGTGCACTTAGTATCCATGCAAAAACGTTGAGGAGAAAAAATAAAATGAAACAAATATAACAATATAAAAAAATCAGTTTCCAGTGACGACATTTACTGGTGAACTGAATCTTGAATGACAATATATTTATCGAAATGGGGGTAAAATAGTGGGCATGGCAAACTTGATGCTGTAAAGCTTGAAACAATTGTTTTCACCTTGGCCTGTCTTAGCAGTTATACAAAATAAGGCGAGGGTTTGCAAGACATGTATTTCTAGTTAAGAGGTAGTACTTGTGCACTTAACCTTCGATTGTAACAAATACACAGACAGTATAAAGCGTTGTCAACATGCACACACATTGCACATGATTCAAAAAAATTCTTGTGATCATCATGTAGCTTTTGTCATTACTCTGTAGGTCATGATGTACATGACTAAATTGTCATTTGATTACTATGTCTTGACCTTCACTTTTCTTCTGTGACCCTTAATTATCAAAAAGGGGAAATTGCCTTCCTGTTCTTCTTTTGAAAAGCTGCAATGTGTTAAAAATATCTAATGCAGGTAATGTATCTGGATTCTTAAAGGCAAGTCTTTTGATATTACCATTCTGTTTTCTAGTCAAAGCTGGAGCCAAAGTCATCTTTTGTGGTCGTGAGGGTATGTCAATTTTTCTGATATTACTGCATGTCAAAGCCCATAATTGTCTAGAACAAATAAATACATGAGTGCATGCATTATGCTTTCTAATTCTGTGTGGTGCTGTGTCAGGAAAAAAATAACAGATTCCCATTTTTGGATATTTTAATTTGAATACCCACAAAAATCCCAAATTTGGAAGAGTGAGACAAGTCCCAATCGGGGTACTTGGTTGGGAATTCCCTGGTTGGGACTTGTCTCACTTTGCCAAATTTGTATGGGAATCCGTTATTTTTTCCTGTGTGTTTTCACATCTATTGTGACATCCAGGGATGGATTGTTTTACCTAGCACTACAACTGGCAAGTTCTTTAAAAGTGGATACACCATTTTAAGAAGGGCCATTTCTTACATTCTGTTCTTTTAATGTATATTTATGTCAGTTGTAGTTAATTTTTTGTCTCAGTTAATTTTGTTTTCTAACTAGAAAGTTAGTTTTTTTCTAACTCTCAGTAGTTAATTTTTTTCTAAGGGACTTGTCAGAAATTAGCAGTGGGGGAGGTGGGGTGGAAACAGAGGGAGGGTCTCAACTTTTTGAGACTTAGAAAAGGGAGGGGTTATGAAAAATGGGCCTTTAAAAGGGGGAGGGTCATGCAAATATATGCCCATGATCATGTAGCGGCTCACCCACAGAAGAAAAAGAAAGTTCTTTATTTAGTAAAAAAAAAAAAAAGAGCAACGGAACATTATGGATATAAACTGTGAAGTACTATTGCAAGAATTCAACAAACATCTACTTTTCATTTATAACAATGCTATAGTCTTATTGCAATTATGAATAATGTTGTTGGTGATGTTATTATGGTTTTGGCTATCCTTTTCATCCCTGTCTTCAGCATCACCATCAATGCTGCTGTGAGCATCTTGATCATCATCATTTATGTGATCAGGATTTTATTTTATTTATTTTATTTTATTAGCTTCGTATTGATACAATTACTTTCATCACCATCATGATTTTCATTTAAGTTGAAGCGTAGATGTTGCTTGATAATTTCGTGTGATTCATTGGTAAACAATCCCTTCTTAAATGCATATTGGATATATGGCCTTTGCGTTTTGAAGAGCCCACTTATTCATTGATAATGAAGAAATAATGGGCCAATAGGCTCTGTAACATCATGCGATTCTTGCTGAGGTGCAATGGTTTCAATAAGTCTTTTGCAGTTAGCTTCCATTCTTTTTGCCCTAGCTTTTTTTGCTTTCCTTTTATTTTGTTTTTCTTTCCTCTTTTTTCTTGTTGGCTTGGAATACCGGACGTTAAAGAGCCTGGGACATTTTTCTTTCAATTCTGCAAGGTGGGGAGGGTCATGATATTTTAGACCAAGCTCAAGGGGAGGGTTAGCAAATGTCACTCCCATGGCGGGGGTAGGTCACCTAATTTCCGAACCCAAATTTAAAATTTCCACCCCCCCTCCCCCCTGCTAATTTCTGACAAGTCCCTAACTAGATAATTTTTTTCGAGCTAGTTTATTTTTTTCTAACTAGGTGAATAATAATTTAACTAGTTACATTTTTTTATGCTTCAATGTATCATCATTTCTCCTAAAATCATGAGAATTATGTCAGTCTTGAAAGAAGGTGACCCTGGTGGGACGTGGCACGCATATGTAAATATTTAGCAATTATTGGACGAGGTTGATCAAAATATCGTGATTTGTCAGTGGCGAGCAGATCAATTATTTGTTGAAGCCGAAGGCTGAGGCAAATAATAATTGATCTGCGAGACACTGACAAATCACGATATTTTGTGATAGCCGAGTTCAATAACTGTTTTATCATTCACCGAGTTTGTTTTTTAAGGAATATCTTCAGGAAGCGAAGCGATCTGCCAGTTTTGCACAAGAGTGATCGCAAGAAGGAGAAAAGCATGGTTTCAATTATGCATGAGCAGAATAGTATTTGCAGCCAAAAACAGTTGAAAAACATTATGCATGAGCACACCATTATTTTTAGGCGGTTATTTAATTGCAGGTCACGTGGTTGGGCTCTCGGCCAATGAAAAGGAAGAAACATTTGCATCGAATGATAAATACCTTTTTTGGGAGTACCCCCTCTCCCACACTATATCTACTATTACAAAATATTGTGTCTTTATTTTTATTCACAAATGAATCAACTTTATTTCTGTGTTGTGCTTGCTAGTGGCTGAAGGGGAAAAACTTGAAAAAGAAATGAATGACAAAGGTCCTGGAGAAGCATGCCTTATTAAATGTGACGTTACTAAAGAGGAGGATATCAAGGTCAGTGTACTGTGCTTTCTAGAAACTCTTCAATCTGAAGTTATTATTATTATTTGTTGAGTTGAGTTTTCCCCAACATTCTGGTATCAATCATTCTGGTATCTTTAATAGCACCTTTTAGTACCTCCCTTCTAAGTTGACTGATGGTACATTGAATCAGTGAAAACTGAATCTTAATTCTAGTCTATGAACACAGCCGTCCTAACAAATCTGACTCTAGGCTCACTCTGCTAGCACACTTAATCAGCCAATCATCTCACCACAGCTCTCTCTGTTCACCCTGTTAGTACAATCATTATTCAAAACCAAAACGTCTGGTTTAAATCTGGGGTAGGTATGAACCTACTGGTATGTATATGTAGCCCAGTCCTCTTACCACACGTTCACGCTGCTACCAGCCACTTAATGAGAGACAAAACCAAGTACTTCTAACCACAGTCATTCCAACATAGCTCTCTCAGAACACCCATCCTTTTCTGCAAAACTGAATTCTGGCATCTTAGTACAGTGCATGATCATAATTTTATAGTCATCCTAACTCGGCTCTCTCTGAGCATACTCTTCTTGTAAAATCATGTCAATCAGTCATGACTGAATCATCTAGCCCCGGTTCAGTTTACATGTCTCGTGGATAAGTCACTGGGTAGAGATTTATCCAGTACATAACATTGCCCACCTTTTTAAACAACTGTAGCCTGGTCTATGACCTCAGTCATTCCAACACAATAACTTTCAACAGTCATGCTACACTGTATATTGGAACACTCAATTAGCCAAAACTAAATCCTCTGGTCTGTGACTAGTTGGCGTTGTTGCTGTTTAATTTCTTAATGGTCCGAGATTGACGACAGCTACATTAGTGAACACCATATTTGATTGTACCCAGGTGTTCCATCTCCAGATTAGAAGCACAAAAGTCATTCAATTAACATTAAAAAAAAAATCCTTTTTTTTCACAAAAACCTCAACGATAAAGCTACAGACATTCCATAAAAGCTTCCCAAACAATATCTCAATGTTTTTGACTAAATATATGTTTTTTATCTGACTTCTTTTATTTTTTTGTGGGTCAGTTTTTCTCTTAAAATTTATGTTTAAACTTAAACAGTAAGAAAAGGCTGTCTTTCTTTATGTCAATGAAGAATTTGGTGGAGAAGACAGTTGAAAAATATGGTTGCATTGACTGCCTCATCAACAATGCTGGATGGCGTAAGTAGAGAAACCTTTTTCTTGATCCTTTGTCATAACTAACTGCAAGCTATCAATATTTATTTATGTATCTAGTCTGAAATTTTGTAGGTGCATAATTCAGCCATCTTATTTTTTGTGAGTTGAAATAAGAAGGTTTGAGATACTATCTGACTAATAGACCTTATTCATGATACCTGCCATCTGTGCATGCCCCTTAGGATCGGTGGGATATTAGCATTAATTATGTCACGTGGTTTCTCAGGGAACAAACAATGAATAAAATTTGCCAATGCAAGAAATCGCGGTCAAGTTTGTTTATTCTCTCAAAGTGAGAGGACGATTAATATAATAGTCATGCAAAATGTACAGTTCAAGTTTTGACAGCTTCGCGATATTATTACCTGCTCTGAGGACATCTTACAATCGCTACTGCATCTAGAAAAGTAACAATGATCATTTTCACCCATGATTTGCCATATTCAATCAATCAATCAATCAATCAATCAATCAATCAATCAATCAATCATTTATTTTGACACGTTACGTCGAGGAGCTAGAAAACTTGTTCAAAATATGAATGTGTATAAATAAAATCTTAAAAAAACTTAGTAATAAAAACGTAAAATATAAAAAGCTAAAACCTACTGAAAAGCCTTATACTTAAAATGTGACCGGAAAACTATAAGACGCGTTCAAGAAACAGTAAAAAGCTACAATCATGCACTATAAGACACGTGCTAAAAAGCTGTAATCATGAAATTCACGTTTGAAGTCATTAGCATCACTTGAAAGACGCAGTTGAGAGGGCAAACTGTTCCATAACTTAGTTAATGAATAAGTGAAAGAATTCTTCTTAAATGTAAGATTAAAGTTAGGTAATTCCAAATTCAAGCCCTCGCCTCTTAGCCCATACAGTGTATGCAGGCCTATATTAATAATTTTAGAAAGGCTTCCAATATAAGTAGGTCCTGTACCATTTCAGCATTTAAAAATCAAATTAAAAAATTTATTGTCTCCAAGATAAAAAGTTCTTCATTTTCTGTTGTTGGATAAACAGACTCGAGCACTATTTCTTGCATTGGCAAATTTTATCACTTGTTTGCCCCCTGAGAAACCATGTGACACCACTTTTATCCTGTCAGTAGTAAAGCGCATGCAAAGATGGGGGGTATCTTGAATAAGTTCTGTTAGGCTGACTGATCAGTCTAGTGAGGGTGGTTGCAAAAACAAATGAAAAAGAAAAGAAAGGTGAGACAAGGAGATCGGTTCTTTAGTTATTATTGTTTTCATTTTTATTGCTGGCGAGCCTTATGCGAGCCAGCAGTAACTATTCTGTACAATAGCGGGAAAAAGCCAAAATTTGTTGGATGTAAGATCAGGAGCATGCGCAGTCGAGTGGTTTTCTTCTGTGCGATGAGATCACGTAAAACGCACATGGACTAGATCGAGAGATTTCAAGAAAATTTCAATGGCTTTTCCCTTTTATACATCACAAATACATGGAAATAACATATTTTTCTAAAAAAAAAGGCTTAGACCCACCCTAATTCCCAGGGCTAATTGTCATTTTCTTCCCTTAATATAATATTTTCAAACTGAATTCTCTGTATTTTACTCCAGGTCTGATGTCATTACTTAATTTCATATTGAAACCCATAGTATTCTTTTGCGAATTTCTCCAGTCTTACTGAGCCTGACCCTCAACTTGACTGTCTCAAAACGGAGTGCTCACGGTCTACTATTTTTGACTCCAAAAATTTGAAACTTCTAGTGTTTTGTAATTACGTATTATTTTTCTAGGTGTTAAGTTTTTATCGATCCTTTTAAACTTTTATTACAGATCCCCCAAGTAAAACAATTGATCAGACTTCAGCTCATGAGTTTAGAGACCTGCTGAATCTTAACCTTGTGAATTACTTCTTGTTTTGTAAAGTAAGTCTTGTAGGTTTTTTTTAATTACATGCAAATGTTACAGTTTATTTCTTGATAACAACTGTTCTTTAGATTAAGGGGAGAAAGATTTTTGTAATAATTTAGCCAAAGCAGTACAATGTGTTAGAGAAGTATAACGTAGAAAGAATAGCCTGCGTAGCAGGCACATGGAAGTATTAAATGAGCGCAAGAAAGAACGGACACGCGAGGGAGACACGCCGCACGTACGTTCTTTCTTGAACCCATTAATTCCTAGCGCCTGCTATGCAGGCTATAGAAAGAAGGAGAACTGGCCTGCAAAATGCCAGGAATCATACTATCTATTTATCAAGTGTGATAGGTAAGGAGAGTCAATAATGTGAGACCTTGCGGTGGGTGCTTACCATTTACACAAACCATCTATATCAAAGGCTTTGCCCTAATACTTTCACTTTTAAAGAGAGGCCTGGGGCAACTTGGAAAATAATTGGCTTTTTGATATATTTTCGTTTTCAGTTTGCTTTACCTCACTTACGGAAAACAAAAGGAAACATTATCAATATGTCAAGTTTAGTGGCACAAATTGGCCAGCCTGGAGCTGTAGCATATGTTGCAAGCAAGGTAAATCTTTTATGTTTTTTAGCTCACGCATGCTTGTTCTGCAGTCTTCTCAAAAGTACCATTTTCTAACTGAAAAAGAAAAAACAAACAAAATTTTGAAGAGAAATATTTTAGGATCTTTCCTAGTATACAGTATGCAGTTAGTTAAACCGTGAATAGGATAGGGAAAATTATAAATACTAACTTTGTGTTGATTTTTATTAAGGGTGCAGTAACGTCAATGACAAAAGCTCTTGCAGTTGACGAAGCTAAGTGCGGAGTGCGAGTTAACAGGTAATTTATTGGTCGTCTGCCTATCGCATGTATAACAGGTATCAGTAATACTGAATCGATCAGTAGCCAAGCGCTAAGTACGGTGTAACAGAAATGAGAGCACACAGTATGTTGAGAGGTTAAGAAAATTATTGTTTTTATTATTCATTCAAAATATTTCTAACCTAAAAAATAACACATTAACCCTGAACTATGTAAAGAAACCATATTTAACTATTGCCTGTTCCGTGCCAGCTTGAGGTTATGAAGGGATGTTTTTGATATTTCTAGCAGACACAATTCTTTGAATAGCAGTTGTCATCGGTTGCGTGGTGATGGTCCCAAGTGAGTTTGCGAAGGCAACTTTTCTAAATCGTGCCGCAATTGCGAATACTGCACGCAATCGCAATCACTGCAATCACAGTCTCGTTGGAAAATTTTTATTAGAGATATACATGTATTTGCTATCTTGCTATGTTTTCTTGAAGTAGTTCGGCTATTTCATCTTTGCCTAACGTGCGAAATCTTTCTTCAGCTCTGCCAAATGGAGGACACGCTTGCTAAATTACTTGAAAAAAAAAAGCAGCAACTAACAATGCATTTGAAATACGCAGAAATGTTAGCTATTGTTGTCCACGAAAAATAATATGAAATTTGGAGATAATACCCCAGACTGATCATGATAATGAGTGGCTCTCACTTGTAAACACGAAATTTCAGACAAAAAATTAAGGAATTTTAGCCCCTATTTTGCTGTCTTACAAGTTATCAATAATCTTGAACCCTAAAGGTCATATAAAACGACCGCTAATCTCGAGAATCTCAACTTTTTTTTAGAAAAAATCCTTCGAGCGGTTTCAAAATTATTCGCTTATTTGTTAAATAGACCAAAATGTTTACAAAACCGCTAACAAGAGCGCCTCGATCACATGCTAATCAAATCTTTCTTCGGCTGAAGCTCAGTCCGTCCATAATCTTTCACACACGTTTTTTAAAAGTGTGACACTTACTATGGGGTAAAATTGCATTTCGAAAGCGCTTCGTTTTCTATAGACAACGGCCAAACATCAAGATTGCCCAGTTTTTACCGTATTTCTAACCATAGAAACTTAATCCCAAAATAGCTCGATAACGCTCTTATAGATTTTGGTTGAACTTCACGAACATCGAGGCGGCCATTAGAGAAAAAAGCTCCCGTGAATGAGTTTGGAAGAAGAGGTCCCTCCGATGTCATTGTAACCCTGATGAGAACAAATTCGTATCTTTATCTAATACAGCTGTGGTGATTATTTACCAAATCTTTGTTAATGGCGACGTAGTTTTTGCTCAAACGTGGGGGGTATTGACCTTGAAAAAAGCCCAGTGAGCCACCTTAAAATATATGGCAAATTTCTGCCAGCGGGGTCTTAAACCACTAAGTTCTTACACGCAGGATTGTACTGTATTTTTATGTATTTCAAACTTTGATCAGACTAAGATATGTAACAGCTAGAGTTCCCTAGATGAGTATTTTTTTGTTTACCGTCATTATGTATAATTTCAGTATTTCGCCCAGTAGTGTGTGGACACCATTGTGGGAGTATTTAGCTCACCTGTCGGGTGACTTTGAGAAAAGTATAAAAGATGGTGAAGAATGCCAGGTAGGTTAGCTTTTTTCGGGTTTTGATTTTTCCCAGTTTTCCTGTCTCTATTGTCGTTTTTCTTTTTCTTTTTGTTCAAGTCTTTTCGCTCCGGTTACTGAGTCTCCTATTTTCGAGTTATTTAAATATATATATATGTAACATATCTCCTTCTTTAAGCGATGTTAAAGGTTAGTTAGGGGGCTAAGTAACCGGGGCGAAATGACCGTAACGCGTCTTTCACTATCTCGAATGTGATTATCGAGATCTCTGGACCGTTTTCAGCAATTGCAGCAATAGAATCCAAACTTAACTAAAAAACTTCCCTGATAAGCCCTAAGTGCTGTTTGCCATCCGGCGAATCGACTTACGTCGGGCAAAACAACATCGGGTGAATCGACGTTAGGGCAAAACGACCATAATCCGCTGATTTTGGTGACTTGTGGGTGGGTCCTTACCCAGTCCCTGTAAGGCATGCATGAGTGGCTTGATCGCTGGATTTGCAATAGTCAGGCTCGAAGTTCAAGTTCTGCGCGCTCTGAGTGCCAGCTGTTGTTCCGTAGTTGTCCCATGTTGAAATCGTCGACTGGACGGACGCTTGTAACTGAAATAGCCGAACCGGCTTGGCTCTGGTCAGTCAGGATTCATAAACCTGTTATGTTTGATTTCTTCTATTCTACAACTTTATTTTTACACTGTTGAGAACGACAACAACAACAACAACAACATCTTTCATTCAAACACGATAAGGTTACAGCGTAGCTGATGTGGTCGTGAAAGGGCATCAACAATCGTTCTAAGAACTTATTTACAAGCAATTTTTACAACGATACGTAAAAGAAAAGACAATCTAAAGGGTTACGTGCTCAGTGGCCAAAGGAGAGACAGCGTTCGAGTTTCAGTCACAGATTTGCTCAGCCCTAATAGCCTTTGTGCTATAAATGCTATTGAGGGTGAAAAAAGGAATTGCTATTATAATTAATTCATAGGCCGTCTTGGTCAACGCTTTTGGTAGAAGACGAATGGCTGGTACTCCCTCTGATCACATGAACTGCAAAAGGCGTCTTACAGTGTCAAGGTTTTGCTCAGAGAAGTTTTGATTTACTGAAAATTCTTGGGCGATTTCCTTACCCAGTCAGAAGTAAAAGTATAACAAATCACAGCTTTTTCGCTTACATTTTTCGCGCGCAACATAAATTTGAGTTCTGACTGGTTGTTCAATAATATTGTTTGAAAATATTGTGTGTTATGATTGCCCATGGTTTATTTTTAATTGGTTTTCTTTCCGGATACTCAATAGTCTATTCAAAGCCGCTCTAGCACAACTGACGACATCGCTTGTATTGTCAAAAATTGTGCATTTATGTCCTCTCACTTGCTGCCATTTTGCTTAAGATATCGCACTCTCTCGACTGGGTGACTCAAGGTTTCTTGTTTTCTTTGAAGCTGTTAGGTCGCATGGGAACTCTTGAAGAATGTGGTCAAGCCTGTTTATACCTGGCTGCCGAAGCAACTTTCACTACTGGAACTGATTTGTTGTTGACTGGAGGTGCTGAACTCACTTATGGCAAGAAAATCCAAGTGGAAAATGTATAAATAATCAAAATTATTTTACTTTGTTGTTGGGCTGTATTTAAACAACTTTCTTCATTCATCCTGGAGGGGGTGAACCTTATAATCTTATCAGCATTACGGTCAAGTTGCCCGAAAGTCATCGCAACCGAAGTTATGTCGCCCGAGATTTTTGGTGAAGTCGGCCGAAATGCTGAGTTATGTCGCCCGAAATTTATCATGCTCAACAACATCTTAACATCCCTGTTGCACATTTATCGTGCTTGTTTCGTCTCATCAAAGCTTTAAGAACGAGATGTATTACTCATCTGTCGCGCTTGTTTCTTGTCATCAAGGCCTAAAGAACGAGATATATTACACATTAATTCCGCTTGTTTCATCTCATCATCACCTGATGAAATTTCGGGCAACTTAACGAAAAATTTCGAGCGAGACAACCCTGGTTCACGGGCGAGATGACTTTCTGGCGCCTGGACCGGTTACCAATCATAACGATAATCATAATCCTTTATAATGACAGAGACTTGTAGCAGATCATAGATTGAAAAGTGAGCTGGTAATTAAAGAAAGCTTACTTGTGTGGATGCAAGATGGGAAAAAACAAGCGCCAGTTGGGGGGGGGGGAGGGGAAAATGGAGGGGTTTCTTTTCCCTTTTTTTCTTGTTCTCTGCCCCTCCCCCTGCCCTTTTTTCGCTAGCCACGCAGGCTAGGAAAATAATGGTGTTATATGAGGTAATTTAGCTGTACTGTCCGACCCGGCACTGACTGGTTAGCTCCACTGGTTAAATATGAGACTTAGGAGTTCCAGGCCCGGGTTCAATTTCCTGCAGGACCAACACTCAGGGTCTTAAAATAATTGAGAAGGATGCATTGCCTTTGATCGGACATAAACAAATGGTATACATTCTACAGTTTATTTTGGATAAGGACTAAAACCCGTAAGCCCCGTCTCACCGCGTTTTCACTTATCTGGCTCTTGTGGGACGGTAAAGAACCCACGCTTCTGTTTGTAAAAAATAGGATAAGGGACTTAGACCCCGGGTAGTTAAGCTGTTACAGCATTCCTAGTATAGTGCAAACTGATTCATTCTTCAGATGTCGAATGATTGATTTAACTATTGGTCACGTGGTGATCTTAAATCACGTGACTAATCTTACGACCATCACGTGGTCTATAAATGTGTTCAACATTCCACTGAAGAAGACGTTTGGGACAACGTCTAAATAGCTCTGAGAGGCACAATTTTCTTAGAATTTTAAAATAATTTCTTAGTATTTTACAATGGGTATTTAGAAATGATTTAACAGTTGTAATTTTTATACTATTTTTCTTTAATTAAATAAAGGGTGTTACTCTCCAAGAGGTAATATAAAACATTGTGATAATAACCAAACATTGAAAGTTGAAGAACGCATGTAAGCGTGTAAAATCGTTTGTTTTTACCACTGGTAGCAACTTCTTTGTATACCATGAGTGATATATGCTTCGTTGGAATTAAAGCTTCACAAAACACGTATGAGTAGTAAACATGGCTACTAGCGGTGGTAACCAATCGTAGCGCAGAAAAGACAATGGGGCTATTGTTTTTGGGTCACGTGCCTCATTAGCATGCGATACGTCATCAATTTGTTCACGTGACCCAATGGACCAATCAGAACGCGGGAAAGGAATCACGTTACCCTAGACCCCAGGTCCCGGAAGTGGCGGGGAACAGCGCGACCGGAAGTCAAATAAAAAGACATTGTCTTGGAGAGAGAATCATGTTTTTTGTTTAATTGAACCTCAAATGCATGCCCTAGTTACATGCGGGACATGTGCAACGTCCTAGGGACGTCACGCCCTTGAATTGGTTTACAAATCTAACAAGAGGTCTACTTCGTCACCAATCCTCTCGCAGCCATAGGGATAACTCGATTTGGTTTCAACATCCACCACTCGCTTATCAAAAACCAATCCATACTGCTTTACCCGCGGAACGACTTGAATCTGTTTCTGTTCTAAATCCCTTCGGAAATGATAGGGCGTGACTATATTCAAGGTACGACGAGAGTCCTGAGGAGTCTCTAATTCCTATAAAATATTGTCTTTCATAGTGTCAAAATTTAAGACGGCCGACCCGCGGACGTTCAACGTAAAACTGCGTACTTTGCAGACGACTTTGCCTGCACGTGTCTTGTTCCCATAATTCTTGGCGCCACCGGAAACAAATTCGGTGATAACATCCCCATCCAGTTGATCCGTCATATCGCCCAAAAAGTCACCAATGGCGATCCAAGGTTGGCCAGGACGCCACTTGTACACCACACAGTCAGTATCATAATAAAGGACTTGCTTTTGAAGGGTGTCGAGGGACTCGTAGAATTTCAACCGGGCGTGACAGGTGGTGAAGGCCGCCACAAAGATATTGGCCTTGGCGCCTTTAATCGCATTGTCATGGACACGTAGACAGCCTCCAAGATGACGTCGGTGCACAGTCGGAGAGTGCTGATGTCGAGGGCGGCATCGGATACTAATCTGAACAGATGAGAGGGGTCTTTGACGGTGACAGTGGTGGGTTTGTTGATCCGCTCACCAAATTTACCCCAGAAACTGCAAAAAAAGAAACCATGAGAAGGGGTGGGATGACAACATGAAAAAAATAAAAAATGGAACAGGTACCTGATGAGCATTAACTTGGCTGTGGCCTTGCGTCCGGGATTTTTGGCAATTTGGCTGATGTCTAGCCGGATCGCCTCCCTCTCCTGGTAGCGAAGAACATGCTCTCGTTTTTGTTCCACGGTCTGGCACCAACTAGGCCACCCAGCCGATTCTTGCTTGAGTTTCAACCACGTGTTGACCTCATCCGTAAAGAGACCCGTCCGACGTTGGGCTTTGGGAAAATGCCATACTTCATGTATTTTGAGCAGGGTGTAACCCTTTTCCACGGCTTTGACCAATTCGGGGGTGCACCAAGTACCGCTTAGCATCCGAGCAGCGTACGAGTGATGGCAGTAGTGAGTGCGTCGCAGCATGGCTTTGGTCTGCTCCTCCTGGACACAGGTACGACACAGAGGAAAGGTGAATTTGTTACCGCTGCGGAAAGGAAAAAACTTACTATTGTCAATCATCACGGATGAACCAGCTTATTATGTATTTTCAGACCTTGATTACCTTTGTTTTTCATTTGTTTCACAGCCACTCATTGGATATTACATAATTTTATTTGTCAGAGGAGGTTATTACAAGATCTTTATTTTTTGCACACATTCAAGGACGTGGCGCCACCAGGACGTCACCTACGTAACAATTGTAACTAGTTTATACGATCTGTTTTCTCAGACGTTTTAATTCAAGTCAACTCCCTTGTTATAAAACCATGATCCATGACAGGCTTTTATCACTACATTCGATGGTCTCGTTCCCCGTTCATGAGCCATTCAGCCAAAAGATAAACTACTTATCTTCCCTTTATGTATTAAACTCTAGGGCGTGACGTCATCAGGACACCACCCATGTCCGGCATGTTCGCGCTGCCCTGTCACTTCCGGTAACGTCATACCTCATCCATCGAATGCGAGGGATCTGGGAATAATTTTTGGGGGTATCTGCATCTGTTCGAGGTTCTATTCAACACCCTATTTTTTCGGATATATTGCCACCCATGCGCAGGGACTGGGGCGCAGTTTGAGGTTTACGCACGCACAAACTAACTCTGTCAACTCGACTGCGCATGGCCTGCTGTCTAAACAGGCAAATCCTTTGCTACTTTCTGATTGGCCGAAATGGGTCACGTGAACAAATTGATGACGTATCCCAAGCTAATGAGGCACGTAACCCAAAAAACAATAGCCCATTGTCTTTCTGGCCCTCTGATTGGTTAGTACCCACGGTAGCCATGTATACTACTTTGGCCAATTATCAGGTTAACTACTATTTTTTGGCCAAATATCGGTTAACTGTTAATCCCATTCGCACCCTCACACAAGGCAAGGTTAAAACGGATTTCTAGATGTATCCGACGGGTACAGTTGATTAACGCTTTTCAGACTGGCAAAAGTAACCGAATAGGCTGGGCATTTTACTGCGATTATCATGTTCACTTTCATACCTTCATCCGCAGTTCAAAACAATTTATGAATCATTTTATATATTTCAATTCGTGCTTACAAGATCTCCATAACTTTATGTAAACGCGACCTTTTTGTGGAATCTTCATTCAAGGCCAGAACTAACACTAACCGCCAAACGGAAACTGCCTTATGCAAAAACCTCACTGGATCTGGATGGGGTTAAATTCAAATGTAAGCGAAACACTTGCAATATTTGAAAGAGCACTTGAGCAACACGATACAATACTGGGAACTAAATACTTAAACAATGTCTTAAAAATAAAGCTATTTTNGGCCGAAATGGGTCACGTGAACAAATTGATGACGTATCCCAAGCTAATGAGGCACGTAACCCAAAAAACAATAGCCCATTGTCTTTCTGGCCCTCTGATTGGTTAGTACCCACGGTAGCCATGTATACTACTTTGGCCAATTATCAGGTTAACTACTATTTTTTGGCCAAATATCGGTTAACTGTTAATCCCATTCGCACCCTCACACAAGGCAAGGTTAAAACGGATTTCTAGATGTATCCGACGGGTACAGTTGATTAACGCTTTTCAGACTGGCAAAAGTAACCGAATAGGCTGGGCATTTTACTGCGATTATCATGTTCACTTTCATACCTTCATCCGCAGTTCAAAACAATTTATGAATCATTTTATATATTTCAATTCGTGCTTACAAGATCTCCATAACTTTATGTAAACGCGACCTTTTTGTGGAATCTTCATTCAAGGCCAGAACTAACACTAACCGCCAAACGGAAACTGCCTTATGCAAAAACCTCACTGGATCTGGATGGGGTTAAATTCAAATGTAAGCGAAACACTTGCAATATTTGAAAGAGCACTTGAGCAACACGATACAATACTGGGAACTAAATACTTAAACAATGTCTTAAAAATAAAGCTATTTTTTATTTACCTCGGAGACACCTGGAGAAAAAAATTCTCACAGAGCCACAGCCTAAAAAGGCTAAGCTGCTCTGTTGCATCAGGAAGGCCAAAATTTTTTACTTAATTCTAAACAGGGGGTCAAACAATATCTGAAAGCTCATTTTTAGTTCCCTCTGAAACACCTGGAGACTATAATTCTCACACAGCGACAGCCTAAAAAGGCTAAGCTGCTCTGTTGCATCAGGAAGGCCAAACTGTTTTACTTAATGCTGGACATGCACTATCATCAAAGTTTCCTTTAGGATTAGTTTTGTTTGTAAAATTAAAGGCTGGTCATCACCATCTTGTCTCAACAACCCTAAAATGCATTCAAGGAAGTTCTTAACAATTATACCATCTATTATTGATCACAAGTTTTGAATAACTTCAAGTACCTTCAAATCATGGCATAAGAAAAAAACTCGATTTCAATTAAAGCACAAATTCTCATCATTAAACTTTAAAAAAAATCAAATACAGGCATTTCAAATCGAGATTCGAGTCACTGCATAAACAAAACAAAGTAGTCTATACATCAAAGCTAAAACTCGCAACCACCTGAGTTTGACGAAAGCTCAAAAGTGCAATTACTAAAATCACTGATTCATGTAGTTACACTCCTCATACCCTTAAAACAGCTTAAAACAATTAACTTCACAGATTTAATCAGTGTAAAAATATCCACTACGTTCCACACTTAAAAACTGAACTGTGACTGAACTTAGCTGTTTCAGTGCGATCAGGCTTAAGACATATTGATCTCCATCAACATTCTCCATGAACATTATACTTTCGCACAATTAGCAGTTATTGAGAATTTATAAAATGATCGAGTGATCGGTGTCGACCTTGACACGTTTTTGTGCTAAAATAATAATAAGTATCCATTTGAAGATGATACAAAGGAACCCAAAATAGACTTACCTCGCTTCGGCTGATGTTTAGAAAATTAAAAAGGACTGAAGAGCACCACCGTACAGCTGAATCCAGTCAGCGACCCTCAATAAAAATCATTTAAGCTTACATAATCAACAACTACGTGAATTTTCGAGTTTCTGACTCGACGGTCATCCGGCACGAATCTCTCATTTTAATTTTCCCCAATTCAGTGATCCAGGACAAGTACCTTTTCCAGATCTTCTCCGCACGACAAAACGCTTTCTCTGACCTCTCTGGCCGCTTCCCGCTATATTTTCTAGTAGTTGGAGGGAATTTAGTCCTTCTTTGATCGCTTCAAACCCGCTTTCGTCTGCATTCCATCGGCGTATTAAAGGCTCGGGTTAAAGTTGTGGAAAAGATGAGTCGTTTTTCAACAGAATAGAAATTATTTCTATTTATTTTTGTCAGTTCTTTGAAAACTGAAGACGTCTGCGCATTTGGAACGAGATAGAATTATATAAGAGTGGTGTAAAAAGAAGAGCATCTGTAGCTAATAATTTGTACTTTTTGAATACGGATTAGCTGGTGTGTCTCATGTTTGAGATTTATGCAACTGCTCCCAAAAGTCAAACTCAGGTGACTGCTACCACAGAGATGCTAATCTATTCGGAATTATAAGTAGGAAAAACCCCTAGTTTAAAGCCAAAACTAGAATAAGTTAATGAAATGGCAAGTCGTTCAGTAAATATGTTTTTGGGACTTTTCGGCCCAGCGATATGATTGTTTCCACGAAGGAAGTTTATTCCTACAAAACACCTGCGTCATTCGGGACCATTCCCAGTTCAGTGAACATGAATGACGTGTCTTTTTCTAAACTGAACATGGGAATGTGACTTCCGGTCTAAAATTCTAAATCTCGCCATTCATCGTCAGTTTATTCATTTCCAAACTATTTAATGATAACAGTTTTTTGGAAAAATCATAAACGATGGCTTTTTTTTAATCATGCACAGATGGCTTTTAATAGGCACTAAAAATGAATACACCCGACTCTAAAAATACTCAAAACCGCCCACCCTTTTCTTGCGGTCTCCATTATGTAAGGGCCTTCACTGGGTCAATGAGAATATAGTTCAAAACCACTTAAACATAGCATTGTTGAACTATTTTAGTATTTAAACGGTAGATATAGGTATATTTTTATCCCCTAAAAATTTTTCATCTGTTCGGATTTCCTAGCTGAGAGTCTAGTGATCCGAAAATTATAGGGATCAAAACTTACCTTTTCGAAAATTTCAGCCAGAAAAAAAGGCTCCCGAAAATTCTAGGTGACCTTTTTAGGGTAAAAATCCGTTAAAAATGGGCAATTATACCTTTTTTGGGGGGTTCGAAAATCCTAGGAGAGGCAGGCAAGCAAGAAATTTAACAACAAATGTTCCGAAAATTCTAGATCTCAAATCGTCTTCCGAACAGATATTTTTGGGCGCCCCTGCTGGGTGACCAATGCTAAACAACGCCAGGAATAGCTTTGAAAATTTAACCTGATGTTCTGAACCGGACTGTATCTTTACCGCAGTTGATTTACTTTTGACTAAAATCAAACAAAAACTATAATCCTCTGATACGATATCAATGATTTGGCAAAGACTGCCTTCTTATCTTTAATCTATTTTACAAGTGCGCTAGGATCAAAGATAGTTATTTTAAGCAAATGTCAACAGAAAGAATGATCTAGCGAGTGAACGGTTCATTACCTCACGACTGGAAAAGTGTCAAAATGTCGAGATTTCACGGTTCTATGACTCGTACAGAAAATTGACCATTGATTAGAGCTAACAAGCAGCATAACTTATATTTGACTGCTGGTTGCGTCACAGAAAACAGTACCTCGCAGTTTCCGTGGTAAGTACGCTGCTTCCTTTTCAGTTTCATAATCAACTACTTCTATTTTCTAAAGTGTATCTCAGTGTTCGTGGCTGAAGCAGCAGTCGGTTAATTGGTGATATGGCTAGTGCTCTGAGCTCGTTTTCCACCTAGCCATAGCGTAAGTTCGAGTGTTCGTTCCCAGAAGCTCATATGTAAGTTGTGTTTGCGTTTGCGTTTGCGTTTGCTGTAACCTGCGATGAGGCGTTTTTTTTTTTTTTTTTTTCCAAGGGCGGACGAGGCGAGAGGAAAAAAAAAATAACGCCCTCTTCCTGTGAGAGACATAAAGGGATAATAGGGAGAGGGCATGATCTCAGGCTACGTTTGCTGATGATTCTCGTCCCTGCAAGCGATTGTCTGCAGCATAAGTTTGGGGCTAACCGCTTGAAGGGCAGAAATCTTAATGTGAGAACAGTTGAGGTTCAACTTGATTCTGAAGCCGATACTAAACTACCTGGCATAAAGATAGACTAGAAATACGTAAATCGCAGGACCTCGCGAAGGATTTGGGGGGAACGGCAAGTAAAGCGGAGAAGAAAATTTGTCAATCAAAAATTGTGAGCTATATACAGAAACATAACAAAACTGTTGTACCTAAAATGAAAACTACATGAAAAGAAAAATAAAAAAAAGAAGAAAAGAAAAGAAGCGAAGAGAAAAAGTACTGCCCTGATTCGAACTAGGACCCTTCGGTGCACCGGGCGAAAGCTTTACCACTAGACAACGTGGAACACAAACACAGAATTAGGGAATTTTTATTGTTAAAACCTTCGAGCCTTATTAAACATGAGTTCAAAGATATTTTTCAGAAGAATGACTGCAGTTTGGACAGTGAAAACCCAACGTAAATGCATTTCATCGCATTTACATGTAGAGAATGGAAGCCCAACAGTCTAGGACGATACGATACAAACTCGTCTGCGAGCAAAACGTGTTTTGTTACCGCGATGTTCACTCATATGTTTATATGGCTAATTCTCCAAAATCGCTTCCATTTGCTCTTCAAGAACTTTAGCATTTGAAATTCATTGAGTGATGTTCTCTCGGCTCCGCTGTTTGTTGCTACCATCTCCATCCATCTTTGTTGCTTGCGCCGTCGAATTTCAAGTCGGCGTTCTTCGCTCCAGAGGATTTTTCGGTGTCAAATCTTCCCCTGCGAGGATTGACAATTCGGCGTTTTTGTGTTTGCCGTTCTGTTTGCATGAGAAATGGCTTGAGATTCACCGATAGTAAACATTGTTTTGCAGACGACGAAAACACAGCTCTTCATGAGTGCTTTGGTCATTGATAGGAATTTGAATATTGCTTTCAGTCGAATGTTGCCTAGAAACAAAAATGCGTTGTGACGTCAACTACTGTATGACGTCATGGCGGACACCATCGGATATATACAAGTAAAGATGAAAACTGCGACTTTGCAGCTCACTAGGACCCACGCGCGGTTCACACACTGCTCGCGCGCTTCGCGCGACGAGATTATAAACTCACTTCGCTCGGCGCTTCGCGAGGAACAACTGTTTTTAAATAATGGTATCGAATACAGGAAAGCGACTTCGCCTATTGAAAAGAACAGATAAATTTCTGTGACTGAAAGCTGAGAAGTTTGTTTTACAACTCACTTATCCAGCTAATACTTGACTACGGGGGTTATTGTCTTGGGGACATGAAGCAAACCGAAGCCACACGTCCAAGACGTAATCAATTTACAGAAACGATGCGCAAGAGTAATCCTAGACAAAAAAATGAGACCCCCTTGGGGCCTTCGATTCATTTAGAGACCTTAACGTCACTCCATGATTTGATAAAAGACAAGAACGCGCTTACAGCGGTATTCACTATCGCTTGCTTGGAGATGAGATCTAGAAAGCTTAGGATAACTGTATAGGAATATTTTTATTCATAAAAGTGGCCCTGTTCTTTTGGCCGGTTTTACCGGAGAAAATGGTACCGTCCAGCGGGACATCCTGAGTTTTAGCAACATTTGTTAGGAGGCATATCATATCTGGTTTTTTTTTTGCTAAACGGTCATTCTTTAGGTTTCCAAAAGGCCGGGCTAACTAAACAGGAGTGAGGCCTTATGATGCTGTGTGAAGCCTTGTGAGGCCTTGTGATGCTGTGTGAAGCGTTGTGTGAGGCCTTGGGATGCCTTGCGATGCTGTGTGAGTCCTTGTGAGGCCCTGTGATGCTGTGTGAGGCCTTGTGATGCAGTGTGATGCCTTGCGAGGCCTCGTGATGCTGTGTGAAGACCTTTGATGTAGTGTGATGCGATGTGATACTTCTTGATACAGTGTGATGCCTTGCGAAACTAGGGTGATGTCGTGCGATGTCTTGTGACAAGGTTCTCGGCCCCATACCTTCCATGCGGCTATTGACTACGCTACCGCAGATAAGGTAATAATCGGGTTACTCCTCGTCTGTGTCTGTTGTTGTGCTGTGTGATGTGTGATAGATCACAAATTTCATTCGGTTATTACACTCTTCCTAAATCGTACATGGTATAAATCAAAGACTTTACAAAGAGCGAGTACTTGAGCAAGTACACAATGTTGATGTAGGAGTGTAAACGACAACAAGATTACGTGTAGATAACAGAAACAATTTTGAAACAACTATTTTTGTAAGGTTCACTCGCTACCTCCCTTGCCACAGAAGCCATGGCCTCGTCCAACCTGAGGTATCAAGGAAAAGTTACAATTGTGACCGGAGGAACACAAGGAATTGGGGAAGGAGTTGTCAGAGAGTTCGGTAAGGAAGAATAGTCAAATATCTACAGCATTACTTAACTTTTGGGCTTGCCTCTCCTTTTGGTAAAATTTGGGTTGAAATATTTTATGGGACGGCTGTCATGCACATATCATTTTTCGGTCATCCCCTGGCGGGGTGGAAGGGGGGAGGGGAGGACCCGGGTAATTTTATATAACTTTGTATGGGGAGTTTAATATAGGGGGATTTGAAAGATTACTCCATCAATGGAGGGAATGAGGGAGGTTTGGTTTACCACATCCTTGCACGGGGGGAAAACCGGGGCTTTGTGTAAAGAAATAATTAGGCCGATTTTACGTGATTCGCATAGTCTTGAAAACTCCTTGAATTTTAGGGGAAGTCCTTGAAAAGGCCTTAAATTTTCTTCAACTTTGAACGTAGTGGTCTGGACAGTGTTGTTTAATGCTTTTTGGTTGTCTAAGACAGAATATAAATCATAGCTCAGAGAAGTTAAAGGTGATTTACATAAATTGTTTTTTGTCTTATGGAATAACAGCTATCAATTTAAGACGGTGTAGAGCAAGTGTTTCCAAAAGTTCTCATCCCAACTTTCTCAATGACTCATCTCGGAACACTTGCTACACAGGCTAATGTAAGGCAAGTGAACAGAAAAATTCAGAGAAGTTGGTGGAGCAAACAATTCAAGCCTTAAAGTCCTGTTAAAATGAACTGTGAAAAGGTTTTTTTCTGTTGCAATCAGTGATATTACATTCCTGGTAAAAGCGCTTTCTTCTTGACATGAATATCAACCTCACTTTTCCTGGTGCTTTGCAAACTGTGCAAAGCTTGCTTCGAGGTTAGGTGACAAAGAGGCAGCTAAGGATTTTTTTAACAGGTAGATTGATCTTGCCATGTGGAGAAAAGATGTATGGTAACAGCATGGCGGCTTCTGTCAGTGTAATAGACAGAATGTGACTCGTGTTTCCATGGCTTTTGTGGAAGAAAAGAAAGTTTTGACATGACGAAAGAATGGAGAAGCAGCTGGTTATATCATTCCACCTTTACGGCCTAAATTCCAGAAAAAATTCCTTTTTCTCTTCAAAAAGCAATTGTCTTGAAACAAAACCAAAAATACAAGGTTATGCCATCACTGGGAAGTTTGTCTGTTTTTGCGTGAGCGCAAATTGTCCAAAACATTCTTTCCTTATCATGTCGTTAAAGAAAAGGAAAAAATTTGTGGTAACCACTTTATGCCATCTGCAGGCACATTTATTAAGTCACCCGATTGTGCCTGTATCAAATAGTTAATTTCAGACCCTGTGTAGGAGGGGGAATTTCTTAACTTTGATTGCTCTGTTTGCCACACGTCCCCTCCCTTGCCCTGGGTCCCCCACCTCAGGGGATGGTGGATGAGAAGTGTATTATTCACTCTCCTCCAGTGGGCCCTGTCCTTTTGCACCTGCCCACTAAGGATGATGAGTTGCTTTGGAGAGCGGTTCGGATTTTTCTTTAAAGAAGCCATCAAAGTCTAGATCCTTCGGACATTTTTCCTCACAGGCGAGGCTTCTAAATTTGTTACGTGCGTATAGGGCATGGAACATGAGTGGATGTTAGAGGTCTGCAAACTGAGATTTGCCATATATTTTCTACTAGCATACTGTTAACCACCATTAAGCAATTTTATCTGTGCAGTATCTAATTTAATTTGTGCAGTACAAAACTAGTCAGGGGTGCAGCTACCTGTACGCATGGTGCACATGGTATCCAAAAACGTTGAAGGGAAAAAACAAAATGAAATAAAATCCGGAGAAGCCACAACATTTATTGGTGAACTGCATCTTGAATTATAATATATTTTTGAAAATTGCTATAAAATAGTGCGCATAGCAAGCTTGATGGTGTAAAGCTTGAAACAGTTGTTTTTCACCTAGGCCTGTCTTCGCAGTATGCGAAATAAGGCGAGGGTTTGCAAGACATGTATTTCCAGAACTTGTGCACTTGATACCTTCAATTGTAGCAAACACACAGACAGTATAAAGCGTCGCCAACATGCAAACATTGTACATAATTGGATAGAATAATTCTTGTGATCATCATGCAGCTTTTGACATAAATACACTGTAGGTCATGATGAACATGACTAAATTGTCATTTGATCACTTAAACCTTCATTTTTCTTCTGTGACCCGTACCAAGAAGGGAAAATTGCCTTCCTGTGCTTCTTTTAAAAAGCTGCAATGTGTTAAAAAAACATGTATCTAATGCAGGTAATGTATCCTAAAGCCAAGTATTTTGACATTACCATTTTGTTTTCTAGTCAAAGCTGGAGCCAAAGTTATCTTTTGTGGACGCGAGGGTATGTCAATTTTTCTGATAACTGCATGTCAAAGCCCATAATTGTCTAGAACAAATAAATACAAAAGTGCATTGCTTTCTTATTCTGTGTGGTATTGTGTTCACATCTATTGTGGCATCCAGGGATGGATTGTTTTACCTACAACTGGCAAGTTCTTTAAAAGTGGATACACCATTTTAAGAAGGATCATTTCTTACATTCTGCTCTTTTAATTTGTATATTTACAAAATGGCTCTGTACTGTTGAATCTTTGTTCATTTAAAATTATTTAATACGGCGTAACGATCTGTTCTTAAGGGAAGACATGTTGAGGTTTTAATGTCTATATTAAGTAACGTGACAATAGTGAGAGTTAACATACTGTTTTATGGCTGGTAAAGCAATAGTGATCAGTTGTACAATAATATTGTGATACCATGTCAGGTGATGATTGGTACAGTGAATTTATGGTGAGTTTTAGTTTTGCCTTTAGAGAACAACGGTGGAATTAAAACTCGCTGGAATCTCATGAAAATCAATGGCCAAAAATGCGAAAAATGCACAACAACAAAAAAGAAGCCGAGACATGATAAGAAGGTCTAATATGTATTTTGAGTGTTATTTTTGACCCCTAACTAATGATCGTGCTAAATTCCCCTCACAAACTTTTATTAATGATATTTCTGTTATATAACAATGATTCTCACTCCTGAACTAATGGGGGACCTATGCTTCGATGTATCATTACTCTCCGAGAATCATGAGAATTATGTCTTGAAAGAAGGTGACCCTGGTGGGTGGCACATACCTTTTTCGGGAGTTCCCCTTCTCCTCTCTAATATTACAATTAAAACACTGTGTCTTTATTTTTAGTCAGAATTAACTTTATTTTCTGTGTTGTGCTTTCTAGTGGCTGACGGGGAAAAACTTGAAAAAGAAATGAATGACAAAGGTCCTGGAGAAGCATGCCTTATTAAATGTGATGTTACTAAAGAGGAGGATATCAAGGTCAGTGTACTGTGCCTTCTAGAAACTCTTCAATCTGAAGTAATTATTATTTGTTGAGTTGATTTTTCTTAAACCCCAACATTCTGGTATCAATCATCTGGCATCTTAGCACATCAGTACCTCCATTCTAAGTCGACTGATGGTACATTGAATCAGTGAAAACTACTGAATCTTCTAGTCTATGAACACAGCCATCCTAACAAATCTGACTCTAGACTCACTCTGCTAGCACACTTAATCAGCCAATCATCTCACCACAGCTCTCTCAGTTCACCCTGTTAGTACAATCATCATTCAAAACCAAAACTTGCAGTTAATTTGGGGTAAGTATGAACAATATAAAATCCACCTATGTAGCACAGCACTCTTACCACACGTTCACCCTGCTAATAGCCACTTAATGAGAGACAAAACTGCATACTTCTAGCCACAGTCATTCCAACACAGCTCTCTTGGCACACCCAACCTTTTTTGCAAAACTGAATTCAGACATCTTAGTACACGTGATCACAGTCATCCCAACTCAGCTCTCTCAGCATACTCTTCTTGTAAAATCATGTCAATCAGTCATGACTGAATCATCTAGCCCCGGTTGTTTAAGTGTCTGCATAAGATTTATCCAGTAGATAGCATTACCCACCTTTTTAAACAACTGTAGCCTGGTCTATGACCTCAGTCATTCCAACACAGTGACTTTCAACAGTCACGTTACGATTTATATTTTAACACTCAATTAGCCAAAACTAAATCCTCTGGTCTGTGACTCGTTGGCGTTGTTGTGGTTTAATTTCTTTGATCCAAGATTGACGACAGCTACATTAGTGAATACCACTGTACCCTGTTCCATCTCCAGATTAGAACCACAGCATTCAAAAAAGTACTTTTTTCACAAAAACCTCAACGACAAAGCTACAGACATTCCATAAAAGCTTCCCAAACAATATCTCGATGTTTTTGTCTAATATGTTTTTTATCTGACTTCTTTTACTTTTTTGTGGGTCAGTTTTTCTCTTAAAATTTATGTTTAAACTTAAACAGTAAGAAAAGGCTGTTTTTCTTTATGTCAATGAAGAATTTGGTGGAGAAGACAGTTGAAAAATATGGTTGGATTGACTGCCTCATCAACAATGCTGGATGGCGTAAGTAGAGAAACCTTTTTCTTGATCCTTTGTCATAACTAACTGCAAGCTATCAATATTTGTTTATGTATCTAGTCTGAACTTTTGTAGGTGCGTAATTCAGCCATCTTATTTTTTGTGAGTTGAAATAGTAAGGCTTGAGATACTATCTAATGGACCTTATTCACGATACCCGCCATAGGGCGTATGGAAAAGCCGGAATCCGGAACCCGGAACCGGAACCGCAACTTAAATTGAAACCAGGGTAAACTGGGAAGCACTGAAACCAGTTCCCGATACCCGTGTGAGAATAAAATTCAAGATGGCGTCCTCTGTTATCATTGTTTTGAGAAATTTTAAGCACAGTGATCGTGATACCAAAGGTATACTCACATTCGGAAAGTGACTTGCAAAAAAGAAGGTAAGTGCATCCTACTGTTATTCCTAGCAGTCATAAACTGTGACTGCAGCTGTAGGTCGAGCAATTTTACGACAGATCGAGACTAAAACTAACCAGCCGATTGACTGCGAAAAGCAGCCATGTTTAAGACCGCTGTGTTATTCATTTCCTTCTCTTGAGCCTAAGTTACTCATTTCTTAAAAGGGCTCCGTGTTTCATCCATTGTGAGGAAAAGGCAGCAAAGGGAGGAGGAGTACTCATGTCAATCATGATCCCAAGTTTCAACGCTCACGCGTATATGAAATTCTCGAAGAAAAATTTTGCGCCGTACGCAAAAAATACGACAGTAAAAAATATAATAACAATAAATAAATATATTATATTTAAATGTGGGGATGAAAAGTCTTGATCGAGCAGTAATTGTTAGTGACACTCCTAAGACAGAAACGTCTCCAAGTTTTATTTCTTAGGTTCGGGTTCGGGTTCCGTTTCCGTTTCCGTTTCCGTTTCCGTTTCCGTTTCCGTTTCCGTTTCCGGCTCCGGTTCCGGATTCCGGATTCCGGCTTTTCCATACGCCCCCCGCCATATCTTTGCATGTGCTTTAGGATCGATGGGATATTAGCAATGTCACGTCGTTTCTCAGGGGGCAAACAATGAATAAAATTTGCCAATGCAAGAAATCGAGGTTGAGTTTGTTTATTCTCTCAAAACGAGAGGACGATTTAATAGTCATGCAAAATGTACAGTTAAGTTTCGACAGGTTTTGTGACATTATTACCTGCTCTGAGGACATCTTACGGTCGCTACTGCATCTAGGAAAGTAACAATGATCATTTTCACCCGTGATTTGCCATTATTGTCTTCAAGATAAAAAGTTCTTCATTTTCCTTTGTTTAGAATAAACAAACTCAACCGCGATTTCTTGCATTGACAAATTTTATCACTTGTTTGCCTCCTGAGAAACCACGTGACTCCGCTTTTATTCCATCAGTCGTAAAGCGCGTGCAAAGATGGCGGGTATCTTGAATAAGTTCTGTTACACTGACTGATCAGTCTAGTGATGGTGGTTGCAAAAAACATATGAAAAAGAAAAAAAAGTGAGACAAGGAGATCGGTTCTCTTTTTCTCCAGTCTTTTTTAGTTATTATTGTTTTCATTTTTATTGCTGGCGAGCCTTGTACGAGCCAGCAGTAACTATTCTGTACAATAGCGGGAAAAAGCCAAAATGTTTTGGATGTAAGATCAGAAGTATGCGCAGTGGAGTGTTTTTCTTCTGTGCGATGACATCACGTAAAACGCACATGGACGAGCTCGAGAGATTTCAAGAAAATTTCAATATGCAATGTAAATGAGAAGATTCTTTAGTTATTGCTTTTCTTATTTTCTAGATGTCTCTATTTGCTTGTGGAAGTATTCATCAACGTCTCGATCCAGAGCATTTTAGTGATAAATGTAGAGGAAGACGAGAGATTTAATTATATTTGTTTGGCTACTCTATTTGCTTATTCGTGAATAAATGGAGGTTTGAAGATCTCGATCAAATTATCCTTTATGGAGATAGTTTTTTTTCTCTGTCGGCATTCAGCAGTAGTGAAGTGCCAGGCAAAAAATAGTTCTATCCTACTCTAGCTCGGTTGTCTCGGGAGAAAAGAGAGGAAAGTGTGAAGAAAACCAGCTTTGCGTCTAAAGCGACCTAGTTACCACATACAAAACAATGTTTGCATACTCCTTGTCCATTGGGGCGTTAAATCTGATTGTCCTGTAAAAATCTGTGCCTGTTGAGGTAAATAATTCAGCTCATAATTTGACCATTGAGTCACATTTTTCTGTTGAGGTGAACGGAAAGCTTGGAGCCATGGATTCAAAATGTGTAATAATTAAGAATTTGCTCATGCTAAGCGTGCGTATATCGAGGTATGGATGCACTCGGGAAGTTTGGAGAGCAAGAAAGATGCGTAAGAGTTGCTTGAGTCACGACCTAGAGCAACCCTAGCTTCTTAGCTTCAATTGTTTTTAAACTTCAAAGTCAAAAGAAAACCTCTCGAAACCACATTAAGCCCGTTTTTTAATAATATCCATGAAACGATATCTTCGCACCTCCATTCGTGAATCGGCATAAATTGTTGACATAGTAGAAGAATCAAACACATAAAAATATCTTGTCTTCCTCGGGATTCATCACTTAACCATTCGTGACCTCGATTAAATTCTTATTTCCATATTAGGCAAATAAGGAAATTTAAAAAATATAAACAAGCAATAATCATTGCTAAAGGCCTCACTTATCATCTGTTTGGCTCTGGAAACTTAGTCCAAGGTCTTTTCCCTTTTATACATCACAAATACACGGAAATAACATATTTTTCTAAAAAAGGCTAGCCCGCCCTAATTCCCAGGGCTAATTGTCATTTTGTTCACTTCATATAATATTTTCAAACTTTATTCTCTGTATTCTGTTCGAGGTTTGATGCCAACACTTAATTTCAGATTGAAACGCCTAGTTTTCTTTTGCAAATTTCTCCAGTCTTACTGAGCTGGACCCTTAATAACTTGACTGTCTGAAAAGGGAGTGAAAATGGTCTTTTATTTTTGATTCCAGGCATTTGAAACTTCTAATGGTTTTTAATTATGCATTGTTTTCTAGGTGTTAAGTTTCTATCGATCCTTTTTAACTTTTATTACAGATCCCCCAAGTAAAACAATTGATCAGACTTCAGCTCATGAGTTTAGAGACCTGCTGAATCTTAACCTTATGAATTACTTCTTGTTTTGTAAAGTAAGTCTTTTAATCAAATGCAAATGTTACACTTTATTTCTTGATTACATCTGTTTTTTAGATTAAGGGGAGGAAGATTTAAATTGCAATATTTTAGCCAAAGCAGTACAATGTATTAGTCAAGTATAACATAGAAAGAATAGCCTGTGCAGCAAGCACTTGGAAGTATTAAATGGGCGCAAGAGAGAACGAACACGCGGGGGAGACACGCCCCGCGCCCGTTCTTTCTTGCCCCCATTCATTCCTAGCGCTTGCAGGCTATAGAAAGATGGAGAACTAGTCGGCAAAATGCCAGTAAGCATGCTATCTATTTATCAAGTGTGATAGGTATAAGAAGTGTCAATAATGTGAGACCTTGCGATGGGTGCTTGCCATTTACACAAACCATCCATATCGAAGGAGAATAATTGGCCTTTTGATATGTTTTTGTTTTCAGTTTGCTTTGCCTCACTTACGGAAAACAAAAGGAAACATTATCAATATGTCAAGTTTAGTGGCACAAATTGGCCAGCCTGGAGCTGTAGCATATGTTGCAAGCAAGGTAAAGCTTTTATGTTTTTTAGCTCAAACATGCTTGTTCTGCAGTCTTCTCAAATGTACCATTTTCTAAATGAAAAAGAAAAAACAAACAAAATTTTGAAGAGAAATATTTTAAGATCTTTCCTAGTATACGTATGCAATTAAACCGTCAATAGGATAGGGAAAATTGTAAATACTTACTTTGTGTTGATTTGTGTAACTTTGTTTGTCTAAAGGGTGCAGTAACGTCAATGACAAAAGCTCTTGCAATTGATGAAGCTAAGTGCGGAGTGCGAGTTAACAGGTAATTTATTGGTCATCTAAACATCGCATGTATAACAGGCATCACTAATACTGAATCGCTCAGTAGCCAAGCGCTAAGTACCAGTCGTTGCTTAAGGTCCCTAATATGAAATTTGGAGACAATAGCCGAGACTGATCATTATAATAAGAGGCTCTCACTTGTAAACACGAAATTTCAGACAAAAAAATTAGCGAATTTTAGCCCTTATTTTACTGCCTTACAAGTTATCAATAATCTTGAACCCTAAAGGTCATATAAAACGACAGTTAATTTCGAGAATCTCAATTTTTTTTAAAAAAAAAAATTTATCGAGCGGCTTCAAAATTATTCGCTTATTTGTCTGAAGTAGACCAAAATGTTTACAAAACCGCTAAAAAGAGCGCCTCGATCACATACTTAACAAATCCTTCTTCGTAGCAATCGGCTGAAGCTCAGTCCATAATCTTTCAATCACGTTTTTTAAAAGTTTGAAACTACTTTGAGGTAAAATTACATTTCAAAAGTGCTTCGTTTTCTGTAGGCAACAGCCAAACATAATGATTGTTCAGTTTTTACCGTATTTCTAACCATAGAAACTTCATCCCAAAATATCTCGATAACGCTCTTATAGATTTCGGTTGAACTTCACGAACATCGAGGTGGCCATTAGAAAAAAAAGCTCCCCTGAATGATTTTGAAAGAAGAGTTCCCTTCGATGTCATTGTAACCCTGATGAGAACAAATTCGTATCTTTATCTAATACAGCTGTAATCATGGTAATGATTATTTACCAAATCTTTGTTAATGGCGACGTAGTTTATGCTCAAACGTGGGGGGTATTGACCTTGAAAAAAGCCCATCGAGCCACCTTAAAATATATGGTAAATTTCTGCCAGCGGGGTCTTAAACCACTAGGTTCTTACACTCAGGTTTGTGCTGTATTTTTATGTATTTCAAACGTTGATCAGACTAAGCTATGTAACAGCAAAGATTCATGACAGAGTTGTTCCCTAGATGAGTTTTTTTTATTGTTGTCATTCTGTATAATTTCAGTATTTCGCCCAGTAATGTGTGGACACCATTGTGGGAATATGTAGCTCAATTGTCGGGCGACTTTGAGAAAAGTAAAAAAGATGGTGAAGAATGCCAGGTAGGTTAGCGTGTCTCGGCCTATATTCGGAGTGGCTTATGTACGGAGGGAAATTTGCGTTTCAAAATCGATTGGGCTAGCTTGTAGTGGGAAGGAAATTTACAATTTTTGCTTTGTTTTACTTTGTATTCGAGGGCAAATTCCAAGTACAAGCCCCCCGAAGGGCTTATATTCGGAGGGGCAATTTAACAGAGGGTTTTTTGCGTGACGATTTTGGGGGGCTTATATTTGGAGGGACTTATTTTCGGAATTATACGGATCGCTGGACCGTTTTCAGCAATGGCAGCAGTAGAGTTCAAACTTAACTAAAAAACATCCCTGATAAGCCCTAAGTGCTGTTGTCATCCGGCGAATCGACTTACGTCCGGGCAAAACAACGTCGGGCGAATCGACGCTGGGCAAAACGACCATAATCCGCTGAGTTTGGTGACTTGTAGGTGGGTCCCTACCCAGTCCCTGTAAGGTATGCCTGAGTGGCTTGACCACTGGATTTGCAATAGTCAGACTCTAAGTTCAAGTTCCTGCGCGCCCTGAGTGCCAGCTGTTGTTTCATAGTTGTCCCATATTGAAATCGTCGACTGGACGGACGCTTGTAACTGAAATAGCCGAACTGGCTTGCCTCTGGTCAGTCAGGATTCGTAAACCTGTTATGTTTGATTTCTTCTATTCTACAACTTTATTTTTACACTGTTGAGAACGATAACAACAACAACAACATCTTTAAATTTTATTCAAACACGATAAGTTTACAGCGTAGCTGATGTGGTCGTGACAGGACGTCAACAATTGTTCTAATTATAAGAACTTATCCACAAGCATTTTTTTATAAGGATACGTAAAAGAAAAGACAATCTAAAGGGTTACGTGCTCAGTGGCCAAAAGACCGACAGCGTTCGAGTTTCAGTCACAGATTTGCTCAGCCCTAATAGTCTTTGTGCTATGAATGCTATTAAAGGTGAAAAAAGGAATTGTTATTATAACTAATTCATAGGCCGTCTTGGTCAACGCTTTCGGTAGAAGACGAATGGCTGGTACTCCCTCTGATCACGTGACCTGCAAAAGGCGTTTAACAGTGTCTCTGTTTTTGCTAAGCCGGACAAGTTTTGATTGACTGAAAATTCTTGGGCGATTTCCATACCCAGTCAGAAGTAAAAATATAACAAATCACAGCTCAATAATATTGTTTCAAAATATTGTGTGTTATGATTGCCATGGTCATGGTTAGTTTATTTTTAATTGGGTTTCTTTCCCGATACTCAATAGTCCATTCAAAGCCGCTCTAGCACACCTGACGACATCGCTTGTATTGTCAAAAACGGTGCATTTATGTCCTCTCACTTGCTGCCATTTTGCTTACGATATCGCACTCTCCCGACTGGGTGACTCAATGTTTCTTGTTTTCTTTGAAGCTGTCAGGTCGCATGGGAACTCTTGAAGAATGTGGTCAAGCCTGTTTATACCTGGCTGCCGAAGCAACTTTCACTACTGGAACTGATTTGTTGTTGACTGGAGGTGCTGAACTCACTTATGGCAAGAAAACCCAAGTGAAAAATGAGGGTCTGAATGGGGGGGTCCACTTGTCGGTTGTCGGTTAAAATTCAGATACTTTGTCGGTAGTCGGTTAAAATTTTTGATTTTTGTCGGTTGTCGGAAAATCTCTGTTAATAAGTAAAAACGCTTGTTAATTATTAAGATTTTTATGTATTTCACCCGGTTTCAAGACTTTGATCAGTAAGGGAAGAGTAAAACTTGTAGGAATGCATCATTTGATTGCACTTAAACTTCATTAACTCTTGTTTGTTTATGCAACATGATCATTTATTTCACCATTGTTTGCCAAATGATATCATGAGTACTGATAAAATCACCAAACCTTTTATTGGAAATGCGAACTTGGTTTCCCTGTCGATTACAGGGCACAGTACAAAGTAATTAATTAATTAATGGACTCCAGCCATTTGGATACTTAAATTATTCTTAGTGAAAAACTGCAAGGGGTGACAGGATGCACATCTATACCTTTAATGTTTTGGCTCTAACAAGCATGTCCTTTGCTATAATTTTCAAGAAATAACAGTTTAACCCTCGGACGTACAAGGGGTGGAGGGGGTGGATGCCACCCCCCCCCCCACCCCCTTTAGGTTTTTCTGGGATTTTTCGAAGAGGATAAATCATCAGCACCTGACGTTTTCAGTAGATGTTCTTTTATCCCTCGCACGCATTTTGAGACAAGTTCAGTGATGACCAGTTTCTATGGTTAAGAGGTATGACGTAATAAGTAGCAGGTGGTCAAGCCATTTTGAGTGAAAATGTATGTTTTTTTTCAACTTTTTCAACAATAAAAGAAAAAATGTTGTAGCTAAAATCATGCAAAGTGCTTATCTACGTGTTATTATTCATGTCAAGCAATTACCATTTCTCGTCGTTTTAACCTGATTTCTAATTCTCTGTAATATCCAAGATGGCGGCAAAGATGGCGACCATTGTTGGTGACGTAACAGGCCTCCAGCAGCGCCACCATTCATAAAATATACCTCATCTTGTTTAGAAGATCAAAGGCTTTTCAGTGAAGGCAAAATCGCTTCGAAATACCGCAACATAGCAAAATAACATATCTGGGGAGGGGTTCCATCTACCATCCTCTTGTACCATGGTGTGGGGGGGCAGGGGGGGGGGTATGATTTTGCGTGTACGTCGGAGGGTTAAGTTTGCAAGGTAGTGGTTGGTTTTGTATGACAAATTACACTTTTTCATTAAAGCTTCATTTATTGTGTCACGAAAGGCAATATTTCTTTTTCTTCCTTGTTGTGTTTTTCAGGAGCGCTGCTTTCCTTCTGTGAGTTTTACTTCTAATAGCAATTTTTCTTTCAAAATTGTGTGGCCAGCCTCTGTCCATGCATCAACCGCTTTTTGAAATCTGAAATACTTCCTCAGAGGAGTTCGTAGGATTCTCAAGGCTTCTTGTTTGTCAAATCCATTTTAACAATTGGTGGGACGTAAGAGGTGAAAATGTATATACTGGAAGGTTTCCGTTTAAAATGCGTCTTTACGTCAATGATAGCTTTTTCTTATTTTTCGTTGAATGTTGTGCCTTTGTATACAACCGGGTCGAAAAAGGTTGTTTCAGTGTCAGATATTTCGGCCGTAAATTTTATAGCCAGTAGAGTAGTAGGGTGAAGTAAGTTTACTTGTTCCTAGAATTTGAAGAAATCTACCATGTCTGGTTTACTTATGTCCCATAGGGAAAAATATCATCTCTGTAGCATTTTCAAACAGTTGGTTTAAAGACCGTTGATTAAACTTTCTGTTTCAATATATGCGGCCGTGAAAATGTTAGAAAGGAAACTGCTCTATGTGCTCGTCGCGGTACCGTGGTTTTTTTACTGACAGTGCTTTCCATTAAACTGGAAAGAATTTCTTTGAGGATTAATCTAAGCATTTCTCGGACAGAAACAAGAAACGTTCAGTTTTTTCACCTTTGTCGTTTCAATGAAATATATACAGTCGTCTGTGATTATGATATTAGTTGTAGTAATGTACCCGTATCAACAAAAGAGGAAGTTCTTTCTGTTAGACCATCTGATGAGTCATAAATTAAAGAGATTACTTCCTAACGGCTAGAAAAAAAAAATGCTCTTTTTTCTGAAACAAATATTGATTATGTCAGCCCATGTCGGTAGTCGGTTAATATTTTTCCTGTCGGTAGTCGGTATTTTTTTACTCGTTTTGTCGGTAGTCAGTAATATTTTTCGTCCTTTGTCGCTGGTCGGTTAACCCCATTCACACCCTCGAAAATGCATAGATAATCAAAATTATTTTATATCTTGGGTTTCTGTTAGAGCTGTATTCAAACAACTTTCTTCATTCATCCTCAGTGGGTGAACCTCATAATCTAATCAGCATTACGGTCAAGTTGCCCGAAAGTCATCGCGACCAAAGTTATGTCGCCTGAGAGTTTTGGTGAAGTCGGCCGAAATGCTGAGTTATGTCGCCCGAAGTTTGTCATGCTCAACAACATCTTAACATCCCTATTGTACATTTATAGCGAGCTTGTTTCGTCTCATCAAAGATTTAAGAACGAGATGTATTACTCATTTATCGCGCTTGTTTCTTGTCATCTAGGCCTAAAGAACGAGATGTACTACACATTCATTCCGCTTGTTTCGCCTCATCATCGGTTAAAGAACGAGACATATAAGTACACCTAATAAAATTTCGGGCAACTCACCCAAAAATTTCGGGTGAGACAAGGCTGGTTCACGGGCGAGATGACTTTCGGGCGCCTTGACCGGTTGCCAATCATAACGATAATCATAATCCTTTATAATGACAGAGACTTGTAGCAGACCATATATTGAAAAGTGAGCTGACAATTAAAGGAGGCTTACTTGTGTGGATGCAAGGTGGGAAAAAAAGCGCCGGGTGGGGGAGGAGGGGAAAAGGGAGGGGGTTTCTTTTCCCTTTTGCTTGTTCTCTGCCCCTCCCCCTGCCCTTTTTGTGCTTGCCACGTAGGCTTGGCAATCACAAAAACCATCATCATCACCATCACCGTCATTTATAGACCATCACGTGGTCTATAAATGTGTTCAACATTCCACTGAAGAAGACGTTTGGGACAACGTCGAAATAGCTCTGAGAGGGACAATTTTCGTAGAATTTTAAAATTATTTCTTAATTTTTTACAATGGGTATTTAGAAATGATTTAACAGTTTTAATTTTTATATTATTTTTCTTTAATTAAATAAAGGGTGTTACTTTCCAATAGGTAATATAAAATATTGCGATAATAAACAAACATTGAAAGTTAAAGAACGCATGTAAGCGTGCAAAATCGTTTGTTTTTACCACTAGTAGCAATTGCTTTGTATACCATGAATGATGTATGCTTCGTTGGAATTAAAGCTTCACAAAACACGTATGTAAATCAGTTAGCTGTAAACTGGTAATCGAAAAACATGTTGACGCGTGTAAAACTTACCGACTTACTTTACCCTTTTTCTTTTGTAGTTTTAAAAGTGGAAAGTTTGGTTACAGACTTGGGTACTTTGTGTGAAGAAAGATACGCCCCTTGGCATGCTTAAAACGGTTTATCTTGTTCCTATGAACATACCAACTTCAAAACCCACAACTTTTAAAAACTCGAGCATGCCTTACTCCCACCATGCTTGGACGCTTAGAGACTAGTAGCCTGTACATTTCACTGTTTAAAGATGAGAAAGCTTCTGTTACGGTTATTAACAGGTCAGGCCCGGTTCAGACGCCGTATGAATCACCTGTCGCTCCAATGTCGAATAATGCGACAGACCCTGTCGAATTTAACGTTTTTGCCGCACCAAATTAAAACTGCCGTACCAAACTGATTCAGACGCCGCTCTTTTGCCGTACTCACTACCTCAGTTAGGTTCGGCACATGAGTGGAGCGGCGTCTGAATCGGGCCTCAGATTACAATTTCGCGTTCCTCTGCGCTGGCTCGCGTTCCCAGCGTATATCTGAAGTTTATATAAAAACGCCGAATCCTTTAAGAGGCTCTTCAAGGAAAGGATTTATTTACCAGCGCCAGTGAAATAACTGTTTTGCCGAAGCGCACGGACCAATCAATGGTAATAGGATTGAGTGGATTGCATGTTGGTGTTGAAATGTACGTATTTCGGTCTGAGAATGTACAACGGCGGTTCTACAGCAGCAGGATTATAGGGTTCACACAGTCTTGAAAAGTCCTTGTATTTTTTTGAAAAATCCTTAAATTTCTGTGCAAGTCCTTGAAAAGTCCTTGAATTTTCTTCAACTTTGAGTGAAGTGCCCTGGAAAGTGTTTTGATGGTTTTTGGTTCTCAAAGATCGACAAAATATAGATCATATGTCAGAGAACTTGAAGGTGATTTACATAGTTAATGGGTTTTTTTGGTTTTATGCTATTTTTTCTATCAATTTTCATAAGACAAGTGAACTGAAAAATGTAGAGAAGTCAGTGGAGTAAAAAGTTCAATTAAATCCCCGTCAGAATGGACTAAGAATGTGCCTTTTTCTACAATCCGTGAAAGATAGGTGGTTCTTGAAAATCGAATTTGTTCTTTGAACAATCCTTAAAAGATGGTTGCAATTTTTTGTATGAACCGCGGAGTAGCTCAGTCGGTAGAGAGCTTGACTGTACCAACAGTCGTGGGTTCGATTCCTGGAGCCAGATCAATACTCAGGGTCTTAAAAGGTAACTGTGAAATGGAGGAACTGCCTAGTTTGCCTTGCAAATGCCTAGACTTTCATTCGGATGACCACTTAAAATGGCGGTCTCGTCTCCTGAAGGAGACGTAGCAAAATGGTGTCCTCAGTTTTCGTGCTCATGCCACAATTACACTCCAGTAATAAACAATTATTGGACGAGGTTTAGCAAAATATCATGATTTGTTAGTGGCGAGCAGATCAATTATTTGCCGAAGCCATAACTAAAAAAACTTCGCGAAGTTTAAAGAAAAAAAAAAAAAAAAGTTGGCGACATTTTTAATTCATCTCCTTGATGCTATACCCATTATGACAAGGAAAGAAGGTGGTTGGATGAGCGTTCCAAAAAAGAACCGTTTTTTTAAACCGAACAGTTTCTGAGCAAGGCACTTGTTTTTACCTTAAAAGAGGTTAATGAATTGCAATTGAATTGCAATTGTTAGTGGCAATTTTTAAGTTTTTAATATTTTAAATTTATCTTCTGGCATACTTGTTTTGCTCCTGTTTCGCCAATTTTCTGAAGAAAAATGTCTCAAGCTGTCTCCCTGACAACAAATTTATTTTATAGGCAGGCAAGATAGACAGCTTTTTGCCTGGTGTTGATAATCAAACAATCATAACGGAATTAAGTACTTATTGTTGAGGCTTTTACTGTTATGCGAACGAAAGTTGAGGTCGCTGAACGGATTTTGGGTGGTTGTTCCTTATAAGAGGCTAATGGGTATGTGCCGCTGGATGGGATTGCATTTTCCCAACTGGATTGACTGTAATGGGGTTGCATTTTCAATAGAGTTACTAGAATGGGGTTGCACATTTTCGGATTTTTTGGGGTAAGACAGTTCTTCATGTTTACGGTTAGCGAACGTACCAGAATGTTTGTAGTGCAGCCAGCTGAAAAGTAAAGTGTCCTTCATTCAATCTAAAAAATGGGTCAATTCATAAAAATAGAAAGTGGCTAAGTTGGGATCGCAAAACTCACATATTTGTCCAAAAGTGACCAAGATGGGGTCTATAATTGGCCACAGAATAGACTGTAATAGGGTAGGGGCTCTTAGCAAAGCTCTGAGAGGCTAGCGGCTTGCCAGCAAAAATTAACCCAAGCCCCTCTCCGGTTGCCAATTTCGCTTTTTTCATCTTCGCCCCAGGCCTTCGTTCCCTAGAAAGTTAGTCATGCACAATTCCATCTGAACTGAAAAAAGAAAAACGCCTATAAATAAGAAAGGCAAAGGGAAAAAAGAAAGATCGAAATAAATTCGCAAAATTAAAGTAAGAAAAAGAAAACAATATAGTCCAAAATTTTTGCTTGTGCGCATGCACCAGAAACAAAAAAGCCAATAAGGAACCAACAAGGAATGCCCTTGGTCAGTGTCGAAAATCGTTTTTAGCAAGACTCTTGATTTTATCGGTAAAGAGATATCAAAACCCACGTTGTCTAAGCCTTATCAGGTGTCCGAACTTCCTGGAGAGCTAAATATCGGTATATACTTCATGGTGGAAAGCCACAAGTGCACCGGTAATATACACTCTGTGTAGTAGGTAGTATTGTGTCTTCTCCCTAATAGCTAGTGGTAGTTACTAGTAGTTACTTGTATTTACTAGTAGTTACTAGTAGTTAGTGGTAGTTATTAGTAGTTACTGGTAGTTACTAGTATTTAGTGGTAGTTATTAGTAGTTACTAGTAGTTGATGGTAGTTATTGGTATTTATTAGTAGTTACTGGTAGTTACTAGTAGTTGTCGGTAGTTACTAGTAGTTACTAGTAGTTACTAGTAGTTCTTGGTATTTACTAGTAGTTAGTGGTAGTTATTAGTAGTTACTGGTAGTTACTAGTATTTAGTGGTAGTTATTAGTAGTTACTAGTAGTTGATGGTAGTTATTGGTATTTATTAGTAGTTACTGGTAGTTACTAGTA